ATTGTCAACTTTAAGAAGGAAAATGTACTGTAAATGGTTTTGAAATAATTAAATTAAAATAAAAATATTATAAAAACCTTAAAAAATTATCAATAAAATAAGTTTAAATTTTGAATATCAAATATTTTAATTTATTATTAAGAAAAGTTATACGAAGTCAACATTATCATAGGTTTCTTCAACAAAAAGTAAAACATATCTATAGTTTACTTAACTTTCCCAAATTCTGCATTCAATTTCAGGCTCATATTTCCTATTAAAATACAATTTTCTGACTGTGTAAACGTTTTGCAGTTCAAAGCCATGGCCATGACTGACTCAATGTCTGTGCCTCTGTGTGTGTTGCCCGTGTCTGGCCGCGTGTCTGCAGCTGCGATTGTGTCTGTGTTTGTGTCTGCAACACCGGTAATTACCGCCACGTGACAATGAAAATTACCAGCAAACACCGCAGGCAGCCAAAGGTACCAGCCAGTATCCAGCCTCCAGCATACAGTGTCCTTAAAGTCCTCTCTGCTGCCCTAATGGCGTAGAAATTCAAGTGTAGGCTCCGGAGCTCACATTGAGTGTCAAAAGCCATTGCCTGGAAAGATCTACGACCAGCGCCTAAATGACTCGCAGCCGCCTCTGCGAGAAAGTCGAGGACACTTTATGTAAGTCACAGGCGCAGGGACAAAGACGATGGCCGAGGGATGACAGGGAAAATCGGGGAGCGGCTAAAATGCTAAAATGCGGATGGGATATGGCAGCCTTGTCCAGCAGAGGCTCGAGGAAAAGCAAGAATTTAGCTGCAATTTGTGAGGCAGGGATGGAAAATCAAAGGACTATAGGGACAAAAGATAGAAATTCCTTGAAAGGACCTTGAGAAAATCTTAATACTATTTTAGTTAAGCTATTATATTTTGAACTTTATTTATTATAAGGTATTTTTTGAACATAGGTAATAGGTTTAAAAGTCCTTCCCTTCAAGGACTTTCCATCCCTGATTTGGCCCAAGCGCTGCTGCAGCTGCCCCGCCCATGGACAGCTGCTGGGCCATCAGAGGAGCTCGTAAATAAATCAATGAGCAGTTTGGTATTATATCCTGCGCCTTGGACTCACTACAGCCAGCGCCAAAGAGGAGGAGATTGCCTGCTCTCTTTTTTTTTTTTTTTTTTTTCCTTTGCTTTTCTGGGGCATAAATTTGTGCGACTTGGCCAGGGACTAGAACTCTGGCTAGGACTCGGACTCAGGCCAGGACCAAGGCTCGTCACCGCTGACGTATGTTTAGCTTGAGTGGATTTTATTGTGACAGCGTCAGGATTTACTAGAGACAGCAACTGGAACTGGCAGTCAGTAATGAGAAATACACAGGACGCTCCCTATTCCACTCTGTTTTGCTCAATTGGATTTTGTTTGGTTTATGCAACTCGCTTGCAATTAATTTAAAGTTCATTTATTTACTGCAATATTGCGTATACGACGGGTGGGATGGTAGGGAAAAATACAAATTAGTAGAAATATTTTTTTTATAATAGAATTTGTAGATTAAGTAACTTAGTTGTAAATGTTTAGTAACAAAATTAAAGCGATTTTGTTGTTAACAATTAATTGTATATTTGAATATTTTCTTTAAATATTTTCCAACTACAAAAGAAGTTTAAAATTAAATAATCTAGAACTACTCCCTGATAAAGTCGTTTTTAAAATAAGTTTAAGTCAAGATAATTTATTGAGTGCACCACCGACAGGGTTCCCTAGGGGGCATATAGGGAGTGGCGGCAGCCCCGAACCAAAATCAATGCTAAAATATGCAAATTTTTATTTCCGCGACAATTTCAATTTAACGACAACCAAGACAACGACGACAAGGAACCATTTTCTATTAACATTGGCTTGCCTTTCTTTGTTTCTTCTTTTTTGTCTTTTGCGTGGGGAGAATTACTCTCAGCAGAGCCGTTAACACCGCTTTCGCCCCCCTGGCAGCATCTTTCCCGCTGCTTGGGGGGCGTTGTCTTGCATCGGAAAATGCGCCCCCAAGGGTTGGGAAAATGGCTTTCCGAAAAATAGAAATCTGTAAGCTGTAAGTAAACTTTTTCCGGCTGGCGCGTACGCTGCCACGCATTGAGCCATTCGGGGGATCATTATGCGTGTGCCCGCGTTATGGGGCCTCAAAGTGTCGTTGGTGGGTTCAGTGGTGGCATCGGTGGAGGGTTCCGATGCGGAAAAGTGGGTGAAAATCGGTTGATGCCGGCGGGGGGGCCTGAAGGTTGACGAAGGTGTGGCTCGGTGGGATTTAAACATTCAAATTTGTATTAACGGGGGGTTAAGGGGACTTTTTGGTCTGAAAACTGTCCCTGTGAAAAGAGCAAAAGTTAAGTTATATTTTTGTGATAATTTTAAATTCAATATAGGTACAGATAAGTAATACATTAAGCTTACTGAAGAACAAGTAGAAAAGCTCTATATTCGAAACTATTACTATGATCGACAAGGAAGACAAAGGATCAATATTTTTGTATAAATTCAAAGAAGACTTAACCATGGCGCGCCGCCTAGAATGTGAAAGATGTCTTGATAATCAGGTTCCTCTATTTTCGCTTGGTTCTTTCAATCATTACTTATTTATTTCCAACTTAATCTCTGGAGAAATAATATATTCTCCACTCTATTTTAGACCCTGTAGCACCAGTTATTCCCCCGGACTTCATTCGATTAAAAAGCTATCGCAAATTGTCAACTGCCGGGGGCGTGTTCGTGTTCGGCAGTAGAATTGTCGGATTAATTGCCACAACTAAATATAGAACGCATTTGTACAATTGAATTATTTATTATTTATTGACAGTTTCCTTGAGATACACAAGTTCTGCTGGCCAACTAGTCCTGAGCTTAAGCTCCTCGGCGTATGCACACAAGCCAGCAGGACTTTGCTTTCTCCGCCCAAAAACACACACAACGCCCAGAACCATACCCATACCCAGCCCCACCGAAGCGAACTGTAAGATTTATAGCAGCGGACTAGAGAGAAAACTCATGGGAAAATAACTTTAGCGGAAAAGTGCCGACAAAATACAAGAAAATGCTTAACCAACAGAACGCGAAAAGCAGAAGGCCCACTTGGCAGAAAGGACCCAGACCCACTTACAAGGATGCGAGTGGGGCCACCCAAGTGGCTCTGGCTCTGGCTTCGGCTTCGGTTCCCTCCGGATTCGCCGACAGAAACTTAATGAATTTAATTACCGAATTTTTTCGCTGTAATTACGAAATTCTTTTGGCCGAAAGTGGAATTTTCATTTCATTTTCATTAAAATATTTCTGCTTGTAAGTGTTTACAAAATATGTGTGTGCGAGCGCCTGCTTCTATTCCTTCCTAGTTTTCTATGTATCTTTGAGATACGACATTCAGTTGAGGATCCAAAAAGGAAAACTATGAGTTTAAGGCTTCTTAAGAAGTTCTTTTTAGCGTTTTGTAAGCTGAAAATATATAATGAATCCCAATTCCTAGGAAAATAAGTCTTCTCTTAGCAGGTATTTTACAAATACTAGTTTATTGGTAAAGGAAATGTATTATTATACCCTTGCAGGGTATAATAATTTCAGTTAGAAGTTTGCAACACAGTGAAGGAGACGATTCCGATCCTATAAAGTATATATATTCTTGATCAGCATCAACAGGGGAATCTTTCTAGATATGTCAGGAAGAAATCGATTTTTTGGCCATTTTTGCAAAATTTTATAAGGGGTTACATCATTAAAATTTTTGATTTTGATAAAAAATTGAATTTTCCAAATTTTTAAATTTACTGTAGAAAATCTTGCACAGAACAGTTTTCCGATTTAAAATTAATGCTCTTTTGGTCGAGTTATGATATTTTTAATTTTAAAAAAATCAAGAAGTTTTTTAATATAAAAAATCAGATTTTATAATACAAAATAATATTTTTCTAAGTCAAGGAATCATTTACGACCCCATAACCCATATATATTCTTGATCAGCATTAACATGCAAATCTTTCTAGACATGTCCGGAAGAAATCGATTTTTTGGGCATTATTGCGAAATTTGATAAGGGGTTACATCATTAAAATTAGCGAAAATGACAAAAAATTTGGATTTCTTAAAATTTTAAATTTGGTATGCAGTTTTTTTAAATTAATAAAAACTAACACAAAACTGCTTTCCGAATTGAAATTAATGCATTTTTGGCTTAGTTATGATATATTTTAATTGTTACCTGCAAGGGTATACAAACTTTGGCTGGCCAAAGTTAGCTTTCTTTCTTGTTTATTACCTAAATCCTAAACCTATCTTTATTCTCTTGTAATTATTTCAATTTAGTAACATTATCAACTGACATGCCAACGAATTTGGCTCTATTTATGGCCCACACTCGGTGGCAATGCAATTATTCAGTTATTGACCCACAAAGCCGCAAAGTGTCGGCTCACAGCTACAGAAACAGAAACCGAGAGAGAAACGGAATCATTTGAAGGTGGTTCCTGCAATTGCATTGTCTTCACCTGGGCATTATTAACACGACCACGATATAAGCTCATAATGAGGCCGGGCCTAATTTCTTACGGCTGAGCCGTATTTCGGCCGGGTCTGTCCTCAAATGTGCGGCCAGACGGACATCGCTTGGCTGCCTTTGAGTGTTTATCTGGGCAGGACGACAAGAGCATTCTCCGGTTGGTTTGTAGTATTTTAATTATTAACTACGCCTCATTCTGAACAGCAACAGTAATTATTGTAATTTTGGATGCCCTTTGTAAGTCACAAAAATTGTCAAAAAAATTGCTATATATTTTTGAGACTTAAGTGACTTGTTCCTTTCAATAATTACAACAAATTACTCACAATTATTTTTTTGTCTACGTTTTTTTTCTCCCAGTGTAAGTAAGCAGAACCTAATTGGAATAAGCAAAACCTAGTTGGAATAGTGGCGCTCCTGCCGGAAAGAAAGAACTACATTTCAGTCGTAGCATCCAAGCGGCAGAATATGGAACTAACACAGCCGCCTTTCTTATCGATAACTTCATCAGCAGTTTAGTGCCATCTTTAAGACTTGCATAATTTTAAAAATTCGTTTCCTATAATAAATCTTAATTTAAATTTAAAAACTATGAAACGGAGCTGCCGGGCTTTAATACGCCACGTGCGGCATGCCTCCACCACTGCCCCCAAAGGGGCCACATCGGCTTCAGCCAGTGCAGCAGGAGAAAGCGTAATCAAACCGGAACCGGCTGCACGTGCCACATTTCTGGAGAGGATTCAGCGTGGTCCTGGCCTGCAGGATTTCTTTGCAGTGAAGCCCGCAGCCCGGCTGAAGCTGAACGAGGAGGAGCCGGTGGAGACCAGTGTACCCTACCTCAATGCCGTAGATTTCAATGGTCAGGGAAGGAAAGTGCACTTCGAGGTCTACGGCTGCCAGATGAACACCAATGACACGGAGGTGGTGTGGAGCATCCTGCAGAAGGAGGGTTACCTGCGGTGCCAGGAGCCCGAGCAGGCGGATGTCATCATGCTGGTGACGTGTGCCGTGCGCGACGGAGCAGAGCAGAGGATTTGGAACCGCTTGAAGCACCTGCGAGCGATGAAGAGCAAGCGTAGCCCGAGGCGGCATCCCCTCCAGCTTACCCTTCTGGGCTGCATGGCGGAGCGGCTGAAGGAGCGTCTGCTGGAGCAGGAACAGTGCGTGGATGTCATCGCCGGACCGGATAGCTACAAGGATTTGCCCAGGCTACTGGCCGTGTCCCGTCACTACGGAAATTCGGCCATCAACGTGCTCCTCTCCCTAGATGAAACCTATGCGGATGTAATGCCCGTGCGGTTGAACTCTGAATCCCCCACAGCGTTCGTCTCCATAATGCGAGGATGCGACAACATGTGTACCTACTGCATAGTTCCCTTTACCCGCGGACGTGAACGCTCTCGACCGCTGGCATCCATAGTCAACGAAGTCAAGGCCTTGGCGGAGCAGGGCGTGAAGGAGGTGACACTGCTGGGACAGAATGTCAACTCCTACCGGGACAGGAGTGCTGTGGAGGAGAGGGAAGCTACCAATACCACGCCCGTGCCAGGTTTCAGCACCGTTTACAAGCCCAAAAAGGGCGGAACCCCCTTTGCAGAGCTTCTGGAAGCCGTAGCCGAAGCTGTTCCCGAAATGCGCATCCGTTTTACCTCGCCGCACCCGAAGGACTTCTCCGATGAGGTTCTAAGAGTCATCCGAGATTACTCGAATGTCTGCAAACAGCTGCACTTGCCCGCACAATCTGGTAACACCCAAGTTCTGGAGAGGATGAGGCGAGGTTACAGCCGAGAAGCCTACCTGGAGCTAGTGCAGCACATCAGGGAGTTTCTGCCCAATGTGGGCCTCTCCAGTGACTTTATCTGCGGCTTTTGCGGCGAGACGGAGGCTGAGTTCCAGGACACCGTCACCCTCATCCAGCAGGTGCAGTACAACGTGGCCTATCTGTTCGCCTACAGCATGCGGGAGAAGACCACAGCCCATCGTCGCTACAAGGATGATGTCCCACTGAATGTAAAGAACGAGCGACTCAAGCGCATGGTCTTGGCTTTCCGAGAGGAAGCCACCAAGCTGCACCGTCAAATGGAGGGACAGGAGCAGCTCATCCTCATAGAAGGCAAGAGCAAGCGCTCGGACACGCACTGGTTTGGTCGCAACGATGCCAATATCAAGGTGATTGTGCCGGCTATGGAATTGCCCACTGAACAAGGTGGTGGAGCAACCAAATCCCTGGCTGTAGGTGACTTTGTGGTGGCCCGAATTAACGAATCCAACTCCCAGGTACTCAAGGGAACTCCACTTCACATAACCAGCATAAGCAACTTCCACAGAAGGACAGAGTTTACGCAATAAATCAAACTTTAATCGTAACTTATTCTGTGGTTTTCCTCACGCCTCCATTGCTTCCGGCTGCTCCTTCACCTTTTCCGCTATCGCTTCGCTCCGGCCGTGGTACTTGGCTATCTGGCTGCGATAGAACTGAAAGATCTGCGCACTCGCAGCCCGGCACAGGCACTCGATGTCATTGAACTGGGCTATTTTAAAGGATCCCTTGGTCTGCACCAGCAACAGGTCTCCGTCGACGGAATCAAAGGCGAATGTGAAGCTGGCGCGTTGGTGGAAGGTCTCACTCTGGTCTGGATCCAGGACATAATCTCCCTGATCGTTGATAATGCAGTGCACCGCCGCAAAGCTAAATTTTAGGGGCAGGCCACCAATGAGCATGGCTAGGCAGGCGGAATTCACGGCACAGGCGTCGATCTGTTGGGCAAACCTCCATTATTAAACAGTTTCTATGTAAATGAGAGCTAAAATGCCTACACTGCCACGATCCTCTAGCTCCTGCACCTGCACCGACATCTTGGCATGCGGATGGGCCTCGGCCAGGAGCGCCAATTCCAGGACATCCCGAATGGTCGCCTCTCGAATGCGCTCCTTCACCTGAGGAAGACCCGCCTTGGGCCGATAATTGCACTCCAGGTAGCTGCCATCTATGCTCAGGTTCTGGGTCTTCACCTCGATGGGTCCCAGCACGGCGGCTATAACCACTGTGGCACCTGAAATTGTTTAAAAGCCGGAAAACTCTTTAGGAGATTGCTTGAACCGAAAAGCCAGCATAGAAACAAACCCTGGGTGTACATCACAGAGCCATCGCAGCGGGACAAAGGATTGAACTCGCAGTTCATCTGACGCAGCTGATCCTTGGGCACGTCCATTTTCTCCGGTAAATTCATTTTATTTTGTTTAATTTCAAGAAAAACAACGTGCGCGTGGGAAAAATAAATTAGAAACCAATATAATGAAAAATACCAATAAAAATTCAAAATATTTGAAGATTTTCAATTTTGTTTATATTGGTCACACTGAACTTAACGGCAAGCGCCGAAATTATCGATAGGCTGGACTTTAAAAAACGCTATCGGAATTCTAAACAGAAAGTTTCTTATCAATGGCAAATTGAGCTTTTTCTTATTTGTTTTTAGTTTTTCGGATACTCGCAGAAAAAGCGCGTTGCCGCCGATCGTATATAAGAGTAGTCTTTACTCCTTGCACGGAGTAAGTTCGGAAAAACTACTATCAAGTTTTAAATTTAAACTAAAAACACTTTTAAAATGTCTGGTGAGCTAAACAAATCATATTTTCAAGCTTTGATCAAGTGTTAGTCTGTGTAATGTTACAGGGTCAAATCCATATGCAAAGTTCCTGAAGCAATTCACTCAGGCTGGAACTACCTACAAATATTTTGATTTGGCATCGATTGATAGCAGATACAGTGAGTAGTTTGTTTACAAACAGACAGTTTAATTATTTACAATAATTTTAATGAATGCTGTCTAATTTAAGAACCTAAATTAAAGGCAATGAGTCGGGAAATAGAAGCTTAGTAAGTGTAAAGCTTTTAAAATTATAATTATATATTTATACTGCGAGTATTTATGTATTTTGTTTACTTGATTTCAACAACAATAAGTACATACATATATGTTTTATTTCTTGTTTTAAAAGTATTTGTGTATGCATAACTTAGTACTTATGTTGCTAAATATAGTTGAGAGTTATAGTTAAGGAATAAAACGCCTATTTGTCTCAATGAAATTCGAAAGCTGGAATTGTTAATTGGAAAATTCTTAAACAGGGCGAAAGAAATCTGTAAAGTATTCGATACTTGAATAATATTTCTAAAAAACTTTTAATCTGAAATTTTACACTCAGAAGGTCTATTAATAATAATTAATTTCATCTTAAAAGGGTCCTAAATTTAAGATTTTTACTACATATTTTTTTGTGATTGCATAATAATTTTAAAAATCTTACCATAAACTAAACTTATAAGTAAACAGTTTATTAAATTAAAATTTCCCGTAAACTATCTTAATTATATAAACTTACCTACTTATCTCTTGACCATTGTCAACAGTAAGCATTTGAACCTCATCATGGAATCCTCCATTCAAACAAAACACTGTTTTGAGATAACGATTCGCGTGGCTCCTCCAGTAGGTTTAGTACCCTTCCTATTTATCAGTTATCAGCTATCAGTGACAGGTGACGTCATCTATCTAGAGCTGTGGAATATTTCAATGGGAGTGATAAGGGGTGTTCTTAAGGGGTTTCCTCAATGGATGGAGTGTCTGGTGAAATTGCTGGTTTCTATAAATAGATCTGTCCAAATTCAGGTCAGCTGCCCTACTCGATCCGTGTGCTCTTGGAGTCGGCCGTGCGCAATTGTGATAATTTCCAAGTTACTGAGAAGGATGTCCACAGCATCCTGAACTGGACGCCGGCCCTCAAGCAGGGTTCCAACGATGTGGAGATCGCCTTCAAGCCCGCCCGTGTCATTCTTCATGTGAATCTATCCCCAAACTGCCTTCTATCCCTTTTAATAATATAATAATTACAGGACTACAATGGAGTTCCTGTCATGGTAGATATAGCTGCCATGCGGGAGGCTGTCTTGAAGCTTGGCGGTGATCCCGAGAAAGTGAATCCCATCTGCCCTTCTGTGATGGTGATAGATCACTCGGTGCCGGTCGAGTTTGCCCGTTCTGCAGATGCAATGGCCAAGAACCTGGCTGTTGAGTTCCAAAGGAACAAGGAGAGGTTTACCTTCTTGAAGGTTTTTGTCAAATATTAAATATATTAAATATTTTTCAAAGCAATTTCCTTTTCTAGTGGGCTGCCAAAGCCTTCAACAATATGATCTGCGTGCCACCGGGTTCTGGAATCATTCATCAGATTAATTTGGAGTACCTGTCCCATGTCGTTGTGGAGGATGAAGCCGCCGATGGCTCCAAGATCCTTTACCCCGACAGTTCCGTGGGAAATGATTCCCACACCACGATGATCAACGGCCTGGGAGTCTTGGGCTGGGGGGTGGGCGGAATCGAGGCGGAGGCCGTGATGCTGGGACAAGCAATTTCCATGGTTTTACCCGAGGTTATTGGCTACAAGTTGGTGGGAAAACTAAATCCGCTGGTCACCTCCACCGACGTGGTGCTGACCATCACCAAGCAGCTGCGCCAATTGGGCGTGGTGGGCAAGTTCGTGGAGTTCTTCGGTCCCGGAGTGGCCGAGCTCAGTCTGGCAGACAGGGCTACGATCAGTAACATGGGTCCGGAGTACGGAGCCACCATAGGCTACTTCCCAGTGGATGAGAACACCCTCAGCTATATGAGGCTGTCGAGTTAGTTTACTTTTATAAAATTAAAAAATATAAATAAATTTAATGAATATATTTCAGATCGATCGGAGAAGAAGATCGACATCATACGGCAGTACTTGAAGACTACTCAGCAGTTCCGGGACTACGCTGATCCAACCCAAGATCCCAAGTACACACAGGTTTGCAGAAATATATCCGTAATTTAATTCTTAAACTAATTTAATAAGTATTTTAGGTAGTTACCTTGGATCTGGCCACAGTGGTTTCCTCAGTTTCGGGTCCCAAGCGTCCCCATGATCGAGTCTCCGTTTCTGACATGCAAGAAGATTTCAAGTCCTGCCTGTCCAGTCCTGTAAGTATTTTCTAATTCTAAATATTAAGTAGAACTTTTTAACTTTGATTACCTTAGGTGGGCTTCAAGGGCTTCGCCATTAAGCCAGAGGCTCTAAAGGATGTTGGAAAACTCAATTGGGACGATGGCAAGACATACAAGTTGCAGCACGGTTCCGTGGTCATTGCAGCCATTACATCCTGCGCAAACACCTCGAATCCCTCGGTGATGCTAGGCGCCGGTCTCCTGGCCAAGAAGGCGGTGGAGAAAGGATTAGATGTCATGCCCTACATCAAGACCTCGCTCTCCCCTGGATCAGGCGTTGTTACATACTACCTAAAGGAGTCTGGCGTTATTCCCTATCTGGAGAAGCTGGGTTTTAACATTGTGGGCTATGGCTGCATGACCTGCATTGGCAACTCCGGGCCACTCCACGAGAAAGTGGTTAACGCCATCGAGAGTAATAACCTGGTCTGCGCTGGAGTGCTCTCCGGCAACCGGAACTTTGAGGGTCGCATCCATCCGAATACCAGAGCCAATTATCTGGCCAGTCCCTTGCTGGTCATCGCCTATGCCATCGCCGGACGAGTGGACATTGACTTTGAGAAGGAGCCGTTGGGCGTGGATGCCAATGGAAATAATGTGTTTCTGCGGGATATCTGGCCCACGCGATCGGAGATCCAGGAAGTGGAGAACAAGTATATTATTCCCTCCATGTACCAGGACACGTACAGTAAGTTACCTAACTCGTTAATTATATGTATATGTACTTACTTCCTACCCCTCCCCAGGCAAGATCGAACTGGGCACTGAGGAGTGGCAGTCGCTTCAAGTGCCCGATGGCAATCTTTACTCCTGGAACCCTGACTCCACCTACATCAAGTGTCCACCCTTTTTCGAGGGCATGACCCGCGAGGTGCCCAAGCTAAAGGACATTGAGAAGGCCCGCTGTCTGCTCCTGCTGGGCGACTTTATCACCACGGATCACATCTGTCCCGCAGGTGCCATTGCCAGGACCTCGCCAGCAGCGCGTTACCTTGCCGATCGGAACGTGACGCCGCGGGACTTCAACACCTATGGCACTCGTCGTGGCCACGATGGCGTCATGTCCCGCGGAGCCTTTGGCAATATTCGCTTGGTAAACAAGTTGGTCGCTAAAACTGGACCTCGGACTCTGCACTTTCCCAGCCAGGAGGAGCTGGATATTTTCGATGCGGCTCAGCGGTATCGCGAGGAGGGGACTCCTCTGGTTTTGGTGGCTGGCAAGGATTATGGCACCGGCAGTTCCCGAGATTGGGCTGCCAAGGGTCCGCTTTTGCTGGGCATCAAAGCTATTATTGCCGAGTCCTACGAACGTATCCATCGCTCCAATTTGGTGGGCATGGGCATTATTCCATTGCAGTTTCTACCTGGTCAAAGTGCCGAGACATTAAAACTAAATGGTCAGGAAGTTTACGACATCATTTTGCCAGAGAGTGGATTGAAACCGGGTCAAAGGATCCAAGTTAAGGTGAGTTTTCCCTTTTATTTGTAAAATTAATATTCACATATTTAATTTGTATTTTTAATTTTCAGGCAAATGACATAAATTTTGAGACTATTTTGCGCTTCGACACGGATGTGGATATTACTTATTACAGGCACGGAGGCATCCTGAACTACATGGTTCGCAAAATGCTTTCCTAAATGTTAAATGTTTTTTGTTTTAATTTTATAATTGATTACAATTTGTATATATTTGTTTAACAATTATAAATAAGAAACACAAACTTCAATAAAACGTATTTTTATCAAACTGCAAAACGAATTTGTATCAGAATATATACTTTTTGTAGTTATAGTTCTTCATTTCATTCAGTAATTTTAAAGTTTAAAGAAAACTTGCTTGAGCTTCCTAAAATTTTATTATTTAAAAACCGCGCGCCGGAAAAAGCCCCATGTATGGCTATCGATAAATGCTAGTTTCCGGCCCTGGCGTAATCGATAAGCTGGGCAAGTTCAATCCGACAACTTACTTCTCCAATCAGTTTCTAGCTTTGCTCGTCCGCAATAAGTTCAGTAAAGTCTTCCAATAAGATGTCTGGTAGGTGCAACAACCAAAGAACCCAAGAGGATCCACAACCAGATCCGTTGTCCTGCGGCTTACATAACACCCTTCCCCCCCTTCGTACACCCACAGGCGCCAATCCCTTTGCTCAGTTCGAGAAAACTTTCTCGCAGGCCGGCACCACTTACAAGTACTTTGACCTTGCCTCCATCGACAGCAAATATGGTAAGTCACTTGGCTATAAGATCTAGCCCCGAAGTGGGAGGGGCTGTGTCTACGTGGTAACTCCAACCAAGTTGCATTAACTAAAGTAAATAAGCTGGCCAATTTCGGGTGGAATGTAACCTGTTGAAAGTGGAGTTTGACCCGAAAGTTGGAAAAAATGAGCGAAGCAAACGAACACCTTAATTTGCAAGTCCGAGCAGTGTCAATCGGAAGGTGCTCCCGCCGCCTTAAGTGAATTTTTCTATAGTTTCCAAGCTTGTCTCGCGTCGAAAGCGAAAGTTATCGCCGGTGGTATGAGTGGGGGCTCATAATGGGGCTCGTCTACCGGTGATAACAAAACGTCGCACTGTGTGTGCCTCTCTGGGCTTTAATTCGTATTTATTATTAATGTTACGTGCCCACACTTATCGCCACAAATCTGATGTTTTCGGGGGTCGTGGTCCGGTCGGGGCTTCCGAAAAGTCGCGTGGAATCTTTTCACTGAAGCAGCGCGTGTCCAAGCATCGGGGGTCGAGTTGGGTCTAAGGTGAGGGTTTTCTTTAATGGCCACTACAAATATAATATACTATATAGTACCTCCTCTTATCAGTCGGTACCCATCATTGAGTTCTAAGCATACGCAATCATTGTGCTTCGTGATAACAGGTGATGGCTGCTATCTCAGGGAAAAGTACAATGGGAATAAAAACAAAATCATTGGGTAGTATCTCTGAAGCAACAGCAGTCGAGTCGATCTAGCCATGTCAGTCTCTACGTTACTATGCGAACTAGTCCCTCAGTTTTCGAGATGAATGAAGCTTTGTAGATAGTCTTCTTTATACTAAAGTCTCAAATTATTTACAATTAAATACAAATAGGAATGCTAAACAGCTTGAATTACGCTGACTAAATTTGTTTCTAATCACGCTATTTGATAAAATAACTTTTCATACATGTTTACTACATCATGATTTGCGAAATTGGCCGCTTATCTCTCCTGACTGAGAAACAACACTCATCGATATGATACAGTAGCTTGTTAAAGGGTTAAATAAAAGAGAAATTTAAGAAGCTATGTTCAAATATATTCCATTTATTAAGCTTTACTGTATTTGTAATAAAATTCAATAATTGACCCTTTATTATTTCCCACCGAACAGATCAACTCCCATACTCCATCCGTGTTTTATTGGAGTCGGCGGTGCGTAACTGTGACAACTTCCATATCCTAGAGAAGGATGTGCAGAGCATCTTGGGATGGTCGCCTGCCCTCAAGCAGGGATCCAACGATGTGGAGGTGTCCTTCAAGCCAGCCCGTGTGATCCTGCAGGTGAGTTTTACACATTAAAACTCCTAATCAGATATCCTTTTCATATAAAATGTCTCATTTTAGGACTTCACTGGCGTCCCTGCTGTTGTAGATTTTGCCGCCATGCGCGATGCTGTTTTGGATTTGGGCGGTAACCCCGAGAAAATCAATCCCATCTGCCCCGCTGACTTGGTCATTGACCACTCTGTCCAGGTAGACTTTGCCCGTGCTCCTGATGCGCTGACCAAGAATCAAACTCTGGAGTTCGAGCGCAACAAGGAACGTTTTACTTTCCTGAAGGTGGGTTTTCCTTTTACCAAACTTCTCATTATATGTCTTATAACTATAATTTGTTCGGTTTTAGTGGGGAGCCAAGGCCTTCAACAACATGCTGATCGTGCCACCCGGCTCTGGAATTGTCCATCAGGTGAATCTGGAGTACTTGGCCCGCGTGGTGTTCGAGAATGATACCACCGATGGCTCCAAGATCCTGTATCCCGACAGTGTGGTGGGCACTGATTCCCACACCACGATGATCAACGGCCTGGGAGTCTTGGGCTGGGGAGTGGGCGGAATCGAGGCGGAGGCCGTGATGCTGGGACAGTCTATCTCTATGTTGCTGCCCGAGGTTATTGGCTACAAATTGGTGGGAAAACTGAGCCCGCTGGTCACCTCCACCGATCTGGTGCTGACCATTACCAAGCACCTGCGTCAGCTGGGTGTTGTGGGCAAGTTTGTGGAGTTCTACGGTCCTGGAGTGGCGGAGCTTAGCATTGCGGACAGGGCTACGATCAGTAACATGTGTCCGGAGTACGGAGCCACTGTGGGTTACTTCCCCATCGATGAGAACACTCTTGGCTACATGAAGCAGACGAGTAAGTGGAGTCTCTAATCCCTTTAAGGTACCTTCTTAATTCCACATCTATATTAACTTTAGATCGCTCGGAGAAGAAGATCGACATTATCCGTCAGTATCTGAAGGCCACCCAGCAGCTGCGTAACTATGCTGATGCCGCTCAAGATCCCAAATTCACCCAGGTACATGGACACAAACCCAATTTAGTTATTTTATTAATATGCATTCCATTTACAGAGCATCACCTTGGATCTGGCAACGGTGGTCACCTCGGTTTCGGGTCCCAAGCGTCCTCATGACCGTGTTTCGGTCTCGGACATGCCCCAGGACTTCAAGTCCTGCCTGTCCAGTCCCGTAAGTTGGAATTATGATCTTCAATTTATATATTTTTAAAATTATTTATTCCCTCTCCTTAGGTGGGTTTCAAAGGCTTTGCCATTGCCCCAGAGGCCCAGGCTGCCTCTGGTGAGTTCCAGTGGGACGATGGCAAGACCTACAAGCTGCAGCACGGTTCCGTGGTCATTGCTGCCATTACATCCTGCACAAACACCTCCAATCCCTCGGTGATGCTGGGTGCCGGTCTCCTGGCCAAGAAGGCGGTGGAGAAGGGCTTGAATATCCTGCCCTACATCAAGACCTCCCTCTCCCCCGGCTCCGGTGTAGTGACCTACTACCTGAAGGAGTCCGGCGTCATTCCCTACCTGGAGAAGCTGGGCTTCGACATTGTGGGCTATGGCTGCATGACCTGCATTGGCAACTCCGGCCCCCTTGAGGAGAACGTAGTGAACACCATCGAGAAGAACGGCCTTGTCTGCGCTGGAGTTCTCTCCGGAAACCGGAACTTTGAGGGTCGCATCCATCCCAACACCAGAGCCAACTATCTGGCCAGTCCTTTGCTGGTCATTGCCTATGCCATCGCCGGACGAGTGGATATTGACTTTGAGAAGGAGCCGTTGGGCGTGGATGCCAATGGAAAGAACGTTTTCCTGCAGGACATCTGGCCCACGCGATCGGAGATCCAGGAAGTGGAGAACAAGCATGTGATCCCCGCCATGTTCCAGGAGGTGTACAGTGAGTATTTAAAGAAATGAATATGTATATTAATTTTCTATATATCTTACACATAAATACCTTTCTCCCATAGGCAAGATCGAGCAGGGTTCCCAGGACTGGCAGACCCTGCAGGTGTCCGAGGGCAAGCTCTTCTCCTGGAGCGCCGACTCCACCTACATCAAGCGTCCTCCCTTCTTCGAGGGCATGACCCGGGATCTGCCCAAGCTGCAGAGTATCCAGAAGGCACGCTGCCTGCTCTTCCTGGGCGACTCTGTGACCACAGACCACATCTCGCCGGCCGGATCTATTGCCAGGACCTCGCCCGCCGCCCGATTCCTTGCTGAGCGTAACATCACTCCGCGAGACTTCAACTCGTACGGCTCGCGACGTGGCAACGATGCCATCATGTCCCGCGGCACCTTTGCCAATATTCGTCTGGTGAACAAACTGGTCGCCAAGACCGGGCCACGCACCGTGCACATTCCCAGCCAGGAGGAGCTGGACATTTTCGATGCCGCCGAGCGGTATCGCGAGGAGGGAACTCCTCTGGTTTTGGTCGTGGGCAAGGATTACGGCAGCGGCAGCTCCCGGGACTGGGCAGCCAAGGGTCCCTTCCTGCTGGGCGTAAAGGCCGTGATTGCGGAATCGTACGAGCGCATCCATCGCTCAAACCTGGTGGGCATGGGCATCATCCCGCTGCAGTTCCTGCCGGGACAAAGTGCCGAGACCTTGAATCTGAATGGTCGCGAGGTCTACAACATTGCGCTGCCGGAGAGCGGCCTGAAGCCGGGTCAGAAGATCCAGGTGGAGGTAATTATATATCAGAAAATCATGGCTATACTCCGAGTTGTTCTAAAATCTCTTTAAATATCTCATTTTCAGGCTGATGGCACTGTGTTCGAAACTATTCTGCGATTTGACACCGAGGTGGACATCACTTACTATAAGAACGGCGGCATCCTCAACTACATGATCCGCAAGATGCTCTCTTAAGCATCACATATTTCATATAATTTTTACTATATTCCAACTGCATTTCTACACTGTAAATTGTAGTCCCCTAAGTTTTTAATTTGTGGCGGTGCTTCCAAAAAAAAGAAAACCTGGTCAAACCAATAAAGTAAGCCCTAATCCGTGGTATCCCATTAAAATAAAGGATTCTTTGAACTTTTATAGAAAATATAAAGCTTATTATCTTACTCAATTAATTTAATGTAAAACTTGGAACTATATTTACTCTTAGAAATATTATACTTTCCTTTAGATATTCCTCGTTTCAGCATTTTCCTTAAAATTATAATTATGTTCTTGAATAGCCCCCGTTGGTGTTAAAATTTCGCTTTTATGAGATAAACAAAGCCCAGTGATGAGGATCGAAAAATGTGACAAAACTGAACTGTGTGTATCCCATAAATTGAAATCGGGGGCACTGGGTGGGTCCTTCTAGGACTAACACTTGACTCGGTTTCAGATCTAGGCTGCTTACAAAAGAGCTATCTAAAAGAAACAGCAACTGTGATATGGGAAAGATTCTGAGGGTAAAATCACGGCTACTATTTCCTTAGATAACTCGATATAAATTCAGGACGCGATCGAGACTCCGAGGCACTTTTCTTCACACTGTTCCACCAATCGCGACACCTTCAAGCCAAGAACTAAAACCTGAGAGTTGGACCCACGGAGCTCTTATAAGCACGGGCAGCGTTCAATGGCCGCTGCCAGCGCATCAGGTTTCCTCCTCGATCGCCGATGGCTGATCGGCTGCTCCACCACTCCGCTCCGTTCTGAATTTCCACTCTAACAAAAATCGCTGAGCCTTGCAATTGGCTTTATGCTGTTATTTTTTTCTGGCATACTCGACATTTTTATGCCGAAATGCCAAAATTTCTTGGTTCTTGGTGCTTGCTGCACTTTGTCCAGCTCCTAAGCCCTCGGCGCACTGAACCCGACATTGCTAGTGGGCTGGGTCTTGGCGGGGGTTACAGTGAGTTCTCCAGTGGCTTCCGCAACCGAATTGACCCACAAAAGCCATCGGTGGGGTCAATGAACATGCAGTCACGTTGCCTCATTTATGGAACGCACTAGGTAAATTTTGGGTCAGCTAGAACGGGGCTTTTGTTTTATGTTTATATTTTATGCAAAAATATCACCTCGATTTTCTTAAATAAAAATACATTGATTAAATATAAATAGGTTTGATTAACAAAATTTGACTTTGTTTTATTGTGCATTTACTGAAACTAGAAATGGTTTCGAGAATCCTTTTTAAAGTCGAAATCTTAATTTATTTGTATTAATCGAAATTATATACTTTTTCTTTATAAAAATCATTTCCTGTAAGCCATGTTTTTAAATTTTGCGCCCAAAACCAATCGATAACCGATTCCCGGTGCCAGTTGCATATGTTCCCTGCCCTAGTCTGGTCACACCGCCTGCAAATATTCGCAGAGAAAAAAGAAGTAACTAAAAATCGTTTTATTTATAACGAAAAACTTATGGTGCTGTAATTAAGGCCAACTCGGGCTACGGATTAGGGACAGCTGAGTCCGATGAGCAGCATAGCCGATACTTGCCAGCAGCTGAGGAGGCGCTAGGAGTCCAGGATCTAGGCGCTTTTCGGCCGGGAAAACGCTGCCTAGTTTTCCCCCAGGAGAAGAGGGGAAACCAGGAAGAAGGAATTACATTAAGTCTGATTTTGCAAAAAAGGCAACTGAAATGGACGTCGAGTCGCTGTCGGGGTCTGACGAGGACGACATCTCCACGGTGGACAGCTACAGCTCCGACGAGTCCGCGGACGAGCCGGCCCGTGGAGCCACGCCAGCCTTTGGGGCCAGGACACGGAATCTGGTGCAGATGCTGTACGACAGGGAGGTGGGTATTTGGTGATTTAGGGGTTTTTGAATTTGATTTTGAATAAAGGTTGTTATTGTGTACCTATCAAAGTCAAGGACATAGGGGAAACCATGGAATTCGAGGGTTATTCCCTTGAATTTGATATGTTTGCAACCCCAGAAAGTCAGTTTGTGGAATAACCCTCATCCCTATTATATTAATCTTTGCCTAATGATCTCAAGTTTATTGAACATGACTTCTGACCTACTTTTAAAGCCTTCACTGTTAGCTGGCTTCTTTTTTAATAAGAAACTTATTTGTTTTATACTTGTTCCTTAATATTCCTCTCCCATCTATGCCCAGCGCACTGGCTACTTCTCTGGTTCCTCGCGCGCTTGCCAAAAGCCACAGCTTCCCTACGACAGAGTGCCAAATAGGTTAAAGCTCTACCTCAAAGACGTCTTGGCCAGCAATGTGATGGAGGGGTAAGCCACGCTGCCTAAGACATCATTTAATTACCTTCTAATTTGGGCTTCCATTTACAGGCACATATTCATGGGACTGACGGCCTGCGGACAGTACATGCTTAGCCACCGGGTGGTGTGCAATGACAGTTCCTCGCTGAACCATTACTCCTTTAATGTGGGCTACAAGTACACGTAAGTTATGCCTCTTTCCAAGTTGTTCTACTATTATTATTATACACATTTTCCCCCGCAGACTCTACTTCTGGCTGTTTCAGCCCCACAAGCATCTGCGCTACTTCTTCTCGCGTCGCCTCTTCGACGACCATGTGGTGGACAACATCAAGACTGTTAGTATGACGCAGTGGAAGAATGCCCAGCATCAGATTTTGGTTATCCATGGAGCTGCCACTGAAGAGGGCGAGGATAGCTATATCACATATGTCAAAGTTCCTAAACTGGGTTGTTTGGAGTGCAAGAAACTCAATGACGACGGTTCATGTGGGTGTCATCATCGTCATCATCATCATCATCAACCAGTTATAATTGATTTACTCTCCACCAGATTCCTTTTATAATGCGCACTGCCTGAACTGCCACCTGACTGTGCATACCAAGTACTCCTCGATAGAATCGGACCCGGTATTCGAGCCGAAAATTAATCTGCTCTGTCCGGAGAGGATTTTAATCATCTCCAATGGTTTTATGCACATGCTGCGCATCGATGTGGACACGCCGGCCGTGACCTCGGGAAGCAGCAGCGGCAGCACCTACATACCCCAGCAGAACATGGTTCTGCCTAGTCTTCAGGCTCCTCCCCTTCCGATGCCGTCTCCATCCTTCCTGCTGCCCAGAACTCTGCTCTCCAGCGAAGAGGACCGTGCTTCGGTGGCCTTTACAGCCTCGGGATCGGAGGCAGAGTCTGGCAGCGAACAGAGTGTCGTGGCTCGTATCATAGCGGACTTCAGTGACATCGAAACGGATTTGTCGCAGCGCTCCAACAACAATAACAACGAGGTAGTGTCAACCGCTGGCAGCAACTGCTGTTCTCCCAGAGCTTACGAGCGGCTCATATTCACGCCGCACTCCAGTCCCAGCAGCCTCACGCTGCCAGAGACCACGCTGCCGGTAACCAAGCCAGCCAATATCAACGAAGCTAGTCAGTCGCGCAGACGCAACCAGCGGATAGTGACCAAATCCTATCGCAATGGCATAACCACCATAGACTTGCAGGTAGACACTCGCTCTCTTGCATATTTCTATATAAATAAATCACCTTTTCCACCAACCACAGAGCACGCCCAGTTCGAGTTCCATGACTGACAAATCCAATGCCTACGAATTCTCAGAGGATAACGAGAAGTACGAGAAGATCTCCACGTTCCGCAAGCGACGGCTGGCTGAGAAGAAATACGAGTTTTCGGAGGATAACTCAGAGAACATTATACCCTTTACCAAAGTTCGGTTGGCGGGTCGGGCCTTTAATTCCTCCGCTGCCAGCTCAGCGGCTCGCAGCTTTTCGCATCGCTTCTCGCCTACCGCTCACTTTTTTCATAATTCCCCGTGCGCCTCGCCCTCCTCTTCGCCACATCCCTCCTCCCAGCCGGCCCAGACGCCGCCGCATCTGGGTTTCCGCTCGCCGCCGTCCAGCTCCATGCTGATGCGCTCCCCCAGCCGGAATGCAAACGCGGCATCTCAAATCTTCAATCAGAAGTCGCCGCCTCTGTCGCAGGCCACTCAGCAAATGCTCAGCTACAAGCCGGTGGGACCGCTAGGAGCTCTCTCACCACTCCAAGTGACCATGGCCAAGCGGTTTGAGATCGGCGGCTCCATGTCACCCAATGCCGGCCTCTCGTTTTTGTCACCGCGGCGCGAGGAACCGCGCATTGTGGAGATGCCGATGCTGGGCGGCGTGATGCCGGAAAAGCCGGTGTGCACCAAGAAGCTGAGTCGTCGCTATGTAGAGGAGGATGACGCCACCTCGGTGATCACCAGTGAAGAGGGTGAGTGCAAAAATATATTTTGAGTATTTGAAAAGTATAATTTTACCTCGTGATCTCTCATAGACGATTGCATATCGCCGGGCTACCACACCTCGCTGCCCATGGAGGTGCACGGCTCTTGCTACTCGGAGATGCAGATGATATCGCAGGCTTCCTACCAGCGCCTGCGTGCCAGCAGCAGCAGCGTGGTTATTACCCAGCACTCGTTCGACCTGGAGACCTTCACATACTACGTAATTAGCATGCTGTGCCAGAAGCACCAGAAGATGTACAACGTCTTCTACGACTGGGCGTATGAGGTGGTCAGCGTCTGCCCGCTCAGCCAGACAATCGGCTGCCTGCTGGTGGCTCAGTTCTCGGCGCGGGATCATCCGCTGGCCAATTGCCTGCACTGCACCGGACGAATGGATTGTGTGTTCCACAACAGGCAATACGAGTGTCGCATCCTGTTCACCTGGAACACGGAGAGCGGCCAGTGGCAGGTGCTAGACTACGGCGAGCTCATGGAGACCCATGAGCAGTTTAGTCCACTGAAGCGGTTGGGCAAGGCCCGCCTCACATTCGCCCAGCTGGCCAGGAAGATGGGTCAAGAGATGGCCGAGAGCCTGAGACTAAATCTACCCAACTACGCCTCCAATTTGCGGGTGCTCAACTCGGATATAAGAAAGTCCAAGGCGTACATAAGCGACCTCGATAACATGGTGGAGTTTCACTTGAAGCGCACACCACAGGGGACGATTTAAGAACTTGCTTAAGTGGCTGGACACTGGTCAGGACACAACAAATGGTAGTTTCCTTTTAACAGTAAAAGCTGGACTCTAATATTTAAAAACTAATATAAAAAGAGGCTTTGAGGATTAGGAGTTTTTGCACTTAAACGATAAACGTATTTTTATTGGTTGGTTTTTATATTTGTTAATTTATTTTCCTCTAGTTTTCTAAATTCTTTTCAACATGTATAATATATTATAAAATTTATTTTTTTTTTTTTTTTTGTTTTCATAATTTATTTAATAGAAACTCAATTTTCAAAACCCTAATCAGCCACACAATAACTATTAGAATCACCAGCTCTTACCTTAAGGGAAACCCATTTTTGTGGCAGTGTTTTTTTTTTAGTTGTAAGACACTCGCTAAGGTTGCGCTCTTATCTAGTTCAGTTCTAAACACAACAACAACAAAACGTGTGCTGTATTTAGTTTTTAGTTAAAAAACAATCTTACCTTAATAAGTGCAACGAAACGCTTTTTCAAAACGGTTGAAACGCGTCTTTATTTCGACTGAAGTCATTTAAGAGAACCTACAATCTAGCTGTAAGATCCTGCTCATACTTACATATACTTTTTGATATTGGGGACTTCGATTCGACTATTGACTCTACTATTAGTTAGCAACACATTTCGATATACGGTACTGGTTATTGCAGTATCTTATTAGTTAGTTTCGTGAAAAATATACAAGTTTAATAATCAAACGTAAGACATACTACATATACCTACATATTAAAAGAAAATATTATTCTGCCAGTTACAAGTCCTAAAATGAAATGCTGGCTCAAATAAAAGAGAACCTAACTATGATAAACCAAAGTGTCTTAATTTCCAGCCTGCCTCTCGGTATCTTGACGTTGACTGCCACTGGAGAAATCCGTGGATGTACTCTCCCTGTTTTGGATACTAAAAAAATGAGTAAAAACAATGATGTTAATAAGACAGCAGCTGATCAAACTTTCCAACCCACCGTTTGTTAATCGATCTGATCATGTCCCTGTTGCAGAATGTGGCCAGGAATATGATCATTCCTTGGCTGCAGTTTATGACTTCATTAAGCGTTGTTAAGGGCTTCAGAACCTTTTCCGTCTCGCAAATATATCCAAGAACTTCCAGGAACCAACTGCCCCCCATGATAATAAAAAGACGCAGATAGACCCTATAACTGGAAATATATATAGTATGCGACTTTAAGTGTTTTTTTCTTTATCGGGAAAGAGTTCAATAGTAACATACTTGGCACGATTTCTGGCTTTCCTTTGCTTTGCAATTCGATTTAGCTCGTTTTGATTGCCTTTGTTCTCCACATAAATGTACCGAGTTGTGAGGCCGAACAAAACTCCGTTAAGGACTATCAGGATCGCCAATGGTGTATATAAATAAATCATAGCTGACCAGTTATCCGCTGAAATAAAGCGAGTTACAGAAACACTTTAATCTGTAACTAAATACCTACTGTTTATCCAGCAGCTATACACTCCCACGCCTGGGCTGTAAGAAAAATCCACAAATTTATCCACCAGAATTATGGAAATGGTCAGGATACTGGTGGTGATCCAAACGATAGCGTTATAATTAAAGAAGCTACTACGGCCGTTGTCGTAAAAGTCCTGGAACTGCCTCACAGTGAATCTCCTCCACACATCGAAGCTGACAACCGAGAGCCACATAAAAGTGGCAATTACCATGAAGTAGCCAGCATAGCCTAAACCCAAGTTTAATATTAAAGTAAGCTAATTTGGGGAATATTTTGGGCTTACCATTAATATCACATAACAAAGGTCTCCCTTCAAGTGTTCTAAACATGCTCAGGACATTCAGCAAGAAGGTTAGAGTCAAGCAGATAAAGTAGAGATTGCAGATTCGGCCATGAAGGGTTCGGAATTTCGGCAGCCACAAGTAGACCAAGATGGTCAAGGACATGAAGAAGGTGGAGCACAACTTGACTGAAAGAAGGATTAGCATCGGTAAGTGCCTTAAATCTATGCCATAACCCACCATATGCCATCACCATTGGCGGCTCGACAATGCAGTTGAAAGCCACAAGACTGACGCTGTAGTCTTCCCCCAACTCATCTGGCTGCAGACAATATTCCAGCTTGGAGAGCATTTGGGCATCGTGCTGACGGTAAATGGTTCCATTCTGCAAAGTATATATACCCTCAGTCTGGAGCTTCTTACCTTAATATTTACTTACTTCAAATAAAGTCCATTTATCCCTCTCATCCTCTTTCGGTAACAATCGATATACCTCCTTGCAAGGAAGTGGAAGCTCGTCCTGCACAATCATTACCTCCTTAATGTCTTTCTCCTCCACAGTTTTTCCATCACTTTTGGTAATATTTAAAACGTTTACGTAGGTAAGATTCTCGTTTATGTAGTCGGAGCAACCCATGCCATCAATTTTCATCATTTTTTTGGAGTCGCAACAGAAACGAATACATGTCCTTAGCTTGCACACACATCCTCGTATATGCTTGGGAGCTGGCTCTCTTTCTCCGTCGAAGTTAATCACGTAATCATACTCGCCCGTTAGGTTAGCAGGTACGATTAGGTCATTATATTTATAAGAACCGTTGCTAAAACGGCCATTTATTTTGACAGTATCGAAGAAATCACAGTTCGGAATGTCAACACATTGAAAGCCGCTCACAAGGATGCTCGATATAAAGGCCGCTAGTATGACTTTAGGCGTCATTAATTCTGCAAACATTTTAGTTTCAGTTTCACTTTCCTTTATTTTGTTGTCCCCACAAGAAAACGTGTTGCTTGTGCCGCTGTTCGTGCGATAATAATACAAAACTGACCGACACGACACTATAAAACTAAGCGAATGGCAGTGGCTTATCAACGCAATGATTCCTTGGGGAATATGGACTTCTTGAAAAGGAAATTTAAAAAAAATAATCAGAAAGGAAGCTAACTCCGCCTGCTGAAGTTTGTATACCTTTGCAGATTGCAATTGGATCATTAATCAATTTTGGTCAAATGAAAAATAAGATAAATTATAAAAACAACAAAATATTAAGTAGGATTTATATTCCGATCGTTTCTGTGGCAGCTGTAATATATTGTAATATATTTTCTACAAATGTTTACCATTGTTTCTATATGATATAGTCATATGATCCAGAATATATATACTTTATAAGGTCGGAAATGACTCCATCACTGCGTTGCAAACTTCTGACTAAAATCATAGTACCCTGCAAGAGTATACAAAAAATGAAATATTCCAAATATTATTCATCACGTTTCCTTTCAACATTTCCCAAAACTTCAATGTGCGAATTAGGGAAAAACCATAGCCACATTCCATAACACCACTGCTGTTATTCTTAATTCTCAAAGAATTTTAAATAATTTTCTAATGAGAGCTAAATATTTCCCTCATCTATACAATAACCCAAAAGTTCAAGTTGATGCGATAATTTTAATTGTTCCCTCAAGGCAATGTTTAATGTTAATATACAGTATTTTAATCAGTCTTAAAATAGTACCTAGAGAAACAATTTAAACCAACTCATTATTTACTTTCACTATTTTCAAAATCTAGTGAAAAATGTACTTAAAATCAGTAGTTAAAATGTTTATATACAAGAAAATAAATATGTGAATGTAAGCCTGTTTTTAATTTCCTTGCTGCATCAGCGGATAGTCCTGAGTCATGTTACACGTTTCCAACTCAATGCCAGTTGTCCTTTTCCCTAAGATTCTATAAAAAATATGCTGTTAACAATAGTTTTATAATGCTAATTTAAGAGCTTACCTATCACGAATGTCTCTGAGCAACTCCTTGTTGCAGATGGTTACCAAAAATATAATGATGCCCTGGCTGGAGTTTATAATTTCATTCACTGTGACAAAAGGCTTCCATACATCTTCTAGTTCACAAATGAACGCCAAAATTTCCAATAGCCAAGATCCACCCATAATGATGAACAAATACAGATACAGGCCGAAGCTAGAAAGGCGTTGACAAATAGATTAAATAGTTGAAATAAAAAAAAACAATCCAATTAATCTTTAAATCTAATTAATTGGAAATTTTGCAATTCAGCTTTAAACCGATTTGTTTCCATAGAAATTAGTATAAAAACCAAAATTCTTGTTAATCATGCTTATAAATAATTTTTTAAAAACCAAAATTCGTACTAAACATGCTTATAAATCATTTTTTACATAAAAAGATTACATACTTATCTCGATTTCTGGATTGCTGCTTTTCTTCGAATTTGCTAAGCACTTTTGTCCTGCTCTTGTTCTCCTCGTAAATATGCCGACTCGTCAAAATGTACATGATTATGTTAAAGGATATAAGGATGGCGATTGGCAAATAAAAATATAGCATTCCGGACCAGGAGTCAGCTGATAGAAAGACAACAATATCCTATTAGTTCTATTGAAATTTAAGGACCAAAACTTTGCTTAGCTCCAATTGGAGATTACTAAGGATGGTAATCTCACTACTTAAATTAATAAAATGTAACAAAGAAACGTTAAACTTACTGTTTATCCAGCAGGAATACATGCCCACACCAGGTAGCAAGGTGTATCCAGTAACCTCGTCTAAGTACTGATCGACCAAAAATATGACCAATGTTAGGAATCCAGCTAAGCTCCAAGCGATGAGATTGTAGACGAGGAACATTGAACGATTGCTGCTTTGGAATATTTGGGCAGAGTGCAGGCCAAAATGCCGCCAAACATCAAAACTGATTGCGGAAAGCCAAAGAAAGGTGGCCATGGCCATGAAGTAACCAGCGTAACCTGACATAAATAGAACTGTTAGTTTTAGTAATTATTTTTGTAGATAGATCTTTGAAATTTACCATTAATAAGGCAGAAGACACGTTTCTCCTCAGCTAATCGAAACATACTGATTACATTCAATAAAAATGTTGCCATCAGGCAGACAAAATAAAGGACAGAGCACATGCCATGCAGGGAATGGAATCTGGGCAGCCACAAATATAATGCAATTGTAATGGCCAGAAATACCACGGATACTAACTTGACTAATAAAAAAGAAAATTATAAAATAAAAACTCATTTAAAATCTCCTCAAAACCTACCATAACCCATGGTCAAAGATGGCTGTATAATGCAGTTATATGGGGCCAGGCTGTAGGCTGTACCATTACCCGACATTTGAGGTTGCAGACAATAGTCCTGCTTGGAGAGAAAGGCCTGATCGTAATGGCGGAACAGTGTTCCATTCTGGAAAAGAATTTCGCTTTAGAAATGTTTCTAGAAACATACTTGTAAAAACAAAACCAACATCGAATAAGGTCCATTTATCGTCATCTGACAGCTCTTGATTTAGAGAGTAATGCTCCTGACAGGGCAAGGGAAGCTCCTCCTGCAGTATGATATCCTTGAGAATGTGCCTTTTCAACACAGTTCCATCCTTCAGCGTTACATTCAGAGTATAATCATAGCTGAGAGTTTCGTTTATATAGTCCGCGGAGCATCCCGTGCCATCGCTTTCCATGATCTTCTTGGAATGGCAACACAAGCGTATACACGGCCTTAACTTGCACACACATCCTCGGATGTGCTTGGGAACCGGTTCTCTGTCTCCATCGTACGTGACCTTGTAGTCATATTCCCCTGTCAAATGGGCGGGAACAATGAGATCCTCGTACCTATACGATCCATTTTCGAACTTGAAGCCACGCTTTAGATCCACAGTATCGAAATAATCACAATCCGCAATATCGGCTTTGATGCCAACCAAAAGAATGGAGCAACAAATTGTGAACAAACAAAGAGATTGACTCATTCCGCCGGTGTATTTTAACTCCGTAAATTTTTTGTTGACTTCTTCGCTTGACTGTTCGCTGAGAACTGATACTGCGAAGCGCTAACACATCCCGCGAAATTTCAAAACAAGCATGAGGTCAATATTATTTCCTGGAAAAAGCTTGCGTTAGAGATACTCGGTAACTGGTGGGAAGCAGAGAAAAATTTTGATAAATTTAGATAAACCCCAAATTTGCAAAACAAAAACAAATGAATCATCATAGTCTAAGCAATATCTTTTATAGTCTCTGAGATCTCCCCAGGACCTGCCTAAACTCAAAATTTAAATTCCCATTTAAAGTGTCGCCTTTTTTCTCCAAGTGCACATTATTTATAAATAACAGCTCGAGCAAAAACCCGAAACGTAAAGCGGTTGTAATTTTCGGACATTTTTTTTTATTACATCTGTATACATTTATAAAATATATTAAACAGTAACATAGTTGTATATTAACAGTACCGTACACAGTAAAAGTAATCGTACACATTAATAAGAGTCATAAAACATTAATAATCTATATCTTTGTGCTATATCAACTTTCAGTTTCAGCCGCACACGAAGCTTAGCTTGCCAAACAGGATTTTATGGAAACAGGTGACGACATATAGAAAGATCTTGGAAATTGCATATAATTGTTGAATAACAAGAACACAAAGAAACAATCAACTTAGGTGTTAGACAGTAGCAATAATAATAATAATAATAATAATAATAATAATAGTAGTAGTAATAATAATAATAGATGCTATATCCGCATTTCGAGAATGAAACGGGTTGCACATTTTCTTGAATAGAAAAGTTTTTGGATTTTTTTTTAATTTTCGTTTTTTATGTATTTTTTTTCACATGTTAACCAACCAACTTAAAATAATTTGTCACTAAAATACAAACTTAAACGAACGACAATTTGCTTGCAAATAGTATTTACACATAGAATTTAAAATAATTTGTTTTTTGATTTGTTTTTCCTCCCATTTTGTTGTTTGTTTTGTTTACATCTTCCTACAAGTTCTCTGACTAGTGGTTTACTAAATATATATATATATATGTATGTATTTATCAATATATCTTCTTGTGTATATATATATTTTTTACTATATATGCCAGTTTGCATTATTAGACTACCTGATTTGAAACCACAACAATTATTTAAATTGCAAAAACGTTAAACCTCTAAAAAATACATTTAATTCACATTTAGTTTTGTTTTAAAATCCATTAGATTTCTTTTTACGTGGGACTGACTCTTGGCATCATACACATGCATGTTTTCTACACATACATATATGTTTTTTTTTTATATAATAGACATTTATGCTTTGTTCAAAAATAGTTAACTAGCAAAACCAATTGTTTGCTCTCCTTCATCAAGTTCATTTATCGGTTTATCAAACCAAATAAGAATAATAAAGCCCGGCGCTTCTGAAATCCCCAGAGATTTTATATCTAGTCCTGTGGTGTCTAAAAGTATGCTATGCTGAATTTCATTTATGTCATCAAGCTTTTTTTGGGATCTATAAATCTCTATAAACGTTTGTTTTACACTTTTTAAGTATTTCTTGGCTTGGAACTAGCTTTAAACTTTAAACCCTACATTCTTTCCCTTTCCTAGGCTCCCTAAATCCCTGGAGCTATCAGAAGCACCCCCATTGAATTCGCATTCTCCATTTCTTCTTTTTTACTTGGCCGCAGATGCCGCTTAGTGTTTTTGTTTTGAGATTAATCATTTAATGATTATTCACAGAAGTACTGAGGTAGAGTTGTTCCATCTGCCGACCCGTCGCCTGCTCTCTTGCTCTTCTTTGTCCTACCAACTCTGGTTCATGGCCTGCTCCAGCTTGGCCTTGGCCACCGCTGCTGCAGCCACTGCTGCCGCCTGGGCCGCCGCCGAGTTCGTGGAAAGGGGAATTCCCGCTCCCGCAGGTTGTTGTTGTTTTCCGGCTGCCACGGCAGCAGCAGCCGCAGCGGCGGCCAACAGGGACGGGGTGCTGGGCATGAAGTTAACATTGATGTTGATGGGATGCACTACTGGCATGCTCGTGAAGCTCTTCTCCAGCAGATCCATGCCGTTCAGGTACGGCACCAGCGCATTGTAGTCGACGTTGAGGGGCACATAGTAGTTACCCTGGCCGTGGAGCGCAAAGATGGGCACGGTGAAGGAGTGCCTCGGCGCCAGCGGGGCAGTGGTGCTGCTGGGAGTGCTCAGCTGGGCTCCGGCAGCCGCCACAGCGCTCAGCTTGGCCAAGAGCGGACTGGAGTTGGAGTTGCCGTTATGCAGCTCGGACTTGATGTCCTTGATGTCGCTAAAGTTGAACGAGGGCGAGGGCTTGTCCAGACGGGCGGGATTCGCATTGGTGCCGCTGGCCTCGGTGTGCACCTCCAGCGGTATCTCGCCATTGGCCGCCGCCTCAGCCAGCTTTCGCTTCTTCGCCATAATCGGAGCTATCTCCGGCTCGGTACCGTCCTTCGAGTGCTCCGAGTGAGCCTGCATGTGCGAGTGATCGCTCTGCAGGTGAGCAGCCACTGGACAGTGTTCGCTACTCGTCTCCTCGTCGTGCAGTTCGTGGACGAAGCGCTCCTTGATGTGGTTCTTGTACTTGTAGTTGTTGTTGTGCTCCACCTCGTGCGACGACTCCGAGTAGTTGCGCATCCGCACGGATAGCAGGCTGTCCTGGGTGTGGTGGCTGTGGGCCAGATGGGGATGCTGCTGCAACAGCAGATCCCTGGGCGGCGGCGAGTGCATGTTGGAGGTGTCTGTGTGGAGTATGGGTTCCCGCGACGACTCAAAGTCGTGGTGGCTGCTGTCCGTGTTGTGGTGATGATGATGATGGGGGGCTGTGGAGGTGATCACGGGAGCCTGGTGCGGCTGCTGATGGGCAGCCAGCGGTGTGACCTTGGGCGCCGGCGGGCAGGTGGTGGAGCTAGCCGCATTGCTGCTGCTGTTGCTGCCACTGCTGTTGCTGTTGTTGTTGCCACTGGCCACCGCACCGGCTCCGCTTCCCGTGGAATTACTGGGCACATTGTCGCCCCCTAAAGAGGCTCCACCACTGCCTGCTCCATTGGTCAGCGGCACCTTTGACTCAAGGGCACCGTTCGATCCGTTCGAGCTGCCATTGGCCACGGCAACGACAGCGGCGGCTGCTGCTGCTGCCGCCTGCTGGCTCCTCTGCAGCTGGTTGAGATGGTTGCGGAAGCTCAGATCCTTGACGTCGTTGTGATCCTGGCTGTGCTCCACATCCGAGGCCGAGGCAGCGCCCAGCATGTCACGCAGGTGGCACAAAGGAGGATGGTATGCCTGGTGCGGGCTGCCACTCGAGGCGCTCACATTGTCCGGCATGTGGCAGCTGCGCGTTGACTTGTAGCAGTCCGCTGGAGGAAAAAAAAAAGGATTAGCTAATTGATTCTCTTCGTGAAAATGCTTAAGGACTCACTCTTGAACATCTCATCGATGTGCTCCTGCAGGCGACCCAACAGGCGGTGGCAAAAGTCCTGCATGTGGACGTCGTAGAGAAACTTGGCCGCCTCCTTCATGCAGTCCATGTAGCCACTCCGGTAGTCGCTCTCCTTCTGCTGGCACTCGCTCTGCAGGTGCTTCAGGTGACGGATGGCCATCTCGATGATCTCCGTCTTCTCGATGCGGCCACGACCCTTGCGCTGATACTGCGGCGGGATGAGGCGGGATAGATCCGCCAGGCAGGAGTTCATGCGATCCCGTCTCCGCTTCTCGATTATGCGATGGGAGAGCGGATCTTGCTATGGATAGATAGTCGTATATACGGTTTGGTTAGTGACGTTTACGAAGGGGTGTTTGGTAGCTCCCATTTTAGGGTTTTTCTTGGGCTTTTTACGACCCCTAAATCTAAATGATTGTTCTGCTGAGAGGCGTTTTTCTTTTGCTATTTTATTTCACTTTATTTGTCGCTAGTTTCGGTTCTCTTTTTTTCGCTTTATTATCATTCTTTCATCAATTTCGGCTAACAATAAAAAAAAGGGTCAAAAGTGTCGGCTGCGTCGATCGATGGCGGGGAGGCGGCATCATGGCTCAAGGTCATAGCTCGTGTGTGTAGTGGGTGGTGGTTGGTGGGGTGAGAGTGTGTGATAGCTAGTGGGCGTGGGCGTCATCATCCTTGCGCTGCTCTAACGCTCTTTTGATCCTTTGATCTTGTCTCAGTGCTTGTTTTTTTTTATTTGTTCAATTGATTCGGAATTCGAAAATATATGTGATCGCGAGTTGATTTTGTTTTTTTTTTTTTCGCTCTCTAAAATTGTAATATTTACCCTCGATGTTTTATTACGTCTTCCGGTGGCATATTCAGCATCGTCCTCGCTGTATGCCGTGGCGGATGTTGAAAAATTTAAACTAGATTCTGTGCAATAAGGAAAACTGGAGACAGCTGCTTCGCTATAATTCGTTTAGATATGCAAAAAGAAGTGGGAAGGATAAAGAAACACAGATAAGTCCAAATCTTGTTCAAAAATATTTTTATATTATTTGTTTTTGTTTTTTAATCAGATTTTCGTTTTGGTTCAGATTTTTGTTTTCGTTTTAGTAATGCATTTATTAGGCGCATAACTTAGCCTGACTTATGAGTAGTAACTTAAGCTAGTTAACCTAAGATTAATAGTTAAGGTCGTTTAAAACTAATTGGTTTTTAGTTTTGTTTTGGTTTTTATTTATTCAGTTATTCGAAAACGTATGTAAAATAAATTAAGGCTGCAATAGAACAGAGAGAACAAAGGATTAAACATGTTGCTGGTTCAGCCAAATCAATCGGTGAGTGCGTCTCAAAGAGCTCTCTCCCTCAGCTAGCTGGGTTTTTGGGCCGAGTGGTCGGTCGCTTGGCTAAAATCAAACGAGCGTTTTGTTTGGTTTGTGTTGTAGTAAAACGGGGTGCAAAGGCCTTAAAATACGATTAGCATACGATACGTAGTTGTTGGTGCAGGAGGGACATATTCCAGGATAGATCCTTATGTCCAGGAAGGAAGAAATCTTTATATCACATTTACACACGCACAGTAACAAAAAAATATAGTCGAACTCATTGGGTGTGGATCTCTCTTCACTTAACAATTTTATAAGAACTAAAATTTTACAAATATTCGGGTCTTAAATCATCATAATTATATTAAAAAATATCCCACAATCACAAGATCTCTGAGTACAACCCATCAATCACACTCTGCGTAAAACCATTTTTACTGGCATAAACCATTTGATTTTAAAATTTATTTCAAGAACTTGCCCCGCCAGATGCCACACGTTTTCATACATGTGTACTCCATATACACAGACATACCTCTATATATCGGGCCATCTAATTTTAGAGTCTACACGTTTTTATTGCCATGTGCCAACAAAAATATTATAAAATGCTGAGCGCAAAAACTCGAACAAGATTTTTGTAAAGCAATAACAAAAACAACAAAAAAAATCCTAGAAAATTGGTTGCCAAGCGCCGCCGCAGAGGAAATATCATAGAGTAAACTATACACACACACAGAAACAGCACATCCTACACGATACTACATTTAACAGACCCATTGAATGCCAATTTCTCGAACCAAAACAAAGGCACACACATCATAACGACGGTAAGGCGGCCAAGAGAAACGGCTCGAAAGCGCTAGAAACCAAAATAAAATAAAGTGGCCGCAAGAGCACAGTGCCTGCTGCTGCTCGTAATAATAAGTGTCATGGCTTTGGGCGATAAGCGGGGCGACAACAAACAAATCATATACTATATATGCGTTATTTATCCGTCCACATAGTATACATGGCGAGAGATACCAGAACGCACCAGTCCCCGGCGCCTAGAACTTGTTTATCCGATCTGAATCGACTTGGCCCCGCCCTCTCTCAACCGAAAAAAAAGGCGTCAGCAACTTGTTTTCATCTCGACGTTTAGCACAATTTGCTGAATTCGATTTGTAAACCGTGGCCAATTATCGGTCCACCAGCTCTTCAACTCGCTGGCTCACACTGCGTATGAGTAATGCAAACACAAAAGTGATTTCGAACTGGGCGTGGCATAAATGCAGGTTGACGACTGCACTTGAGACAATATTTATTCATGATTTAGATATCGAGAGAGAGGAGTTCATGAAGGGCAAAGAATAAAGAGTTATAGAAAACAACCAAAAATCTCTGTGATAAAAGATTTTAACAATGGATACAGTTTATCAAACAATAAATGTTTTAGGTTAATTTGTTTTTAATTGAATTGGTTTCCTTACCAAACAATTGCTTTTACTCCTAAGTACTGTTGGAATCTGGTTGGTTGCATTAAGTTACCATTAGTATTCATTAAAATATCAATAAAATAATTCCAACACACCTAGTTTTCATTTGAATAATCTAAATAGCTCAACGGTGATCAATTTATCTAAAAACTTGTTTCCTATGATTCTTCCATTATTCTTCGTCATACATTTTAATCGAGTTCATCAGATTGTTGTCTGATTGCGAAGGCTTGTTTAATTTTGGGGGGCTGCGCCATCGGGAAATCGCGTTCAAACAATCCCGTGAACAGGGCGTGTACTCATTGGCGCACTTTACATCATTGGCCAAAAGAGCAGAGTCTGAGAACAACGTCAGTCCGCGAGAATCACTCGCTTGATTCATGAGAAAATGTGGACTAAGAACCCCAAAATTCCCCCAAAAATGCTCAAAGTTGGCAAGATGCCGCCACCCCCCACATAAAGATGGCGATGGCGCTGGCCCAGTGAAATGGCTTGCGTTTTGTTTACGTTCTCAGACCGTTTTTGTCATCGCACTATTAAGTAATTGGCACAGAAAGACAAGTACGCCAAATACGAGGGCGAGATCCACAGGTAGTCCGCGACCCTGCCCCGATGACGACAGTTCCGATCAGTCGCCGTGGGCTGCCAAAGGCATGGACAGCATTCCCCGATCCGGATCCTAAATACAGAGAGAGTAGCGCTTCTGGCACGTTTGTCTACGCATGAGTCGGTGATAATTGGCCCGTAGTTTGCACACGCTCGCTGTGATATCTCTGAACTTGGTTCATTGATATTCGAGTCTAACCATTTCCTGTCCTTATCGCGGGTAGTTAAACCCTATAATGATAAGATTACAGAGCAACACGTGACGTCCTTTCTATTATGTTATTTAGCTATTTTTCTGTTTTCCTGCCATTATTGTTGGTCATTTCGAGTGCCATAAATAGTAGAGCAAACTGATATAAGCCAAATACAACTTGTTCTTGGCGGTTTATTTAATCTTCTAGTGGATGGTGGGAAATTCCCAGGAATTACACACCAAAACAAGCTGTTAAGATTAGTAAGTAAACCTCCTCTTCCTTTGATATGTGTTATAATGACAATGCTCTGGGACAGTCATATCTTGATGACCGAAAAATCCAAAGTTAATCAACAACCAAGTGTCATTCACTGTTGACTCATTCAGATGGCGCAAGTGATTCATGTATAGTATCTGATGTCGATGCTAAGAGCATAACAATGCCCACACAACAAATCTGAATAAGCTAAGAAAATAATCAAAAATCAATATATTTAATACTTAAAAATATATAGGTAACATTACAAAGAAGATAGTAAAGGGTAAAATGTAGTTCTAAAATGTATATTTTATTAACTTTAAAATATTCAATTTGTTTCTAAGAATATATCTCTCAAAACTCATAGTTGCAGTGCTAGAATGAACTATTTCTCGCTGTGTAATTATTTACACAACCCAGATGTTAACGGTGGACAATCGGAGGCATTCAATGCCAACAGTTTCCGCCGCCGATCTGTGTCACAAAAATTTCCATATCGACATTGGGCAATGGAAATGCGCTGCCTCTGTCTCAGATTTTGAATTGTGAAATCTCCGAGGGCAGCAAGAGCGGAAAACAACCCGAGACAAGTGATGACGCCAAAGGCGCAGAGAGACAACAAAAAATAAATCAAAATAAATAGAATAGAAGAATCTGTGTGTCTAATTAACAAAGTGGGCGGGTCTGCTGCTGGACTGGTCTGGTTCTCGCCTGATCGTCGACCTTGAATACTGCGCTTGGCTGATAAGATTTATCACGAATATATAGCCAGCTAGATTAGCGCCAATTACGCTTGAAAAGCTGAATACTGCAACTGCGGTCAGGTGAGCGATGCGCCATCACGTGAGATTCCGCCGACTCGAACTGGAACTGGAACTGAAATTTCCGAACAGCTCATAAATATTCAGATAAATACAGACGAAACTGACGCAAAACTACGTTTCGGCGGGCACGTGATATAATTGTTATTGGCCAAAGTGCAAAGACCAGAAAAACATGAGCGCCAAAAATTGCAGCACCAGCGCAATTCGACTCGCAGCAATTTCAGTTTTTACCAACACAAACGTGTGCACGTGCCGGATGGTTTGGTCGGCAACAGTGTTTGGGATTGGACTCGGTTCGGGAATGGAAATGGAATCGAGGAACTGAAAATGGAATCGAAATTGCGGTGGCGAGGGCAATTGTCCGTACCCCTGCAAATGGCTCTCTGGCGTGCTGTCTAAGCGAAAAACAATTCAGTGCGGGTATAAACAGATACATGTGTACAAAAGATACAAAAGCCACACACAGCTATGCATAGATACAAATACGAGGCCAGTTGTAGGAGGTTCTACGCACACAATTGTCGGACCATCGAATTTTCAAGATTCACTGGAAATGTGCAAATGGAAATCTCGTAGCTCCGGGTGATGAGATAAAGCTGTCTTTGTTTCAAGGAAAGTGAATCACAAATGGCGGAGTATACACAGCACAGTTGAGTCTGGCTTATGAAATTCTCACACGAATCTTGTAAGTAAATATGTGCAATATTAAGTCAAGCTATTTATATATACGAATTTATTATATTTTTGTTAAGACTTAAGGCTTACTATTTTTAGACCGTTTTCATATGAGAACTGTTGACATACAGATAGGCATATGAATTAGAGGTTTACGCCGATGGTTAAAGGCATCGGCGGCGGCGTAGAGGTCAAAATGACTCGGCGGCGGCGGCGTAGTAGTCAGAAAGAACCGGCGGCGGCGGCGCGTCAAATAAGGCAAAAAGGCCATTTTAATGAGTTATTTATTTTTTTTAAAGTTTTATAATGAACAATGACACTGAAGGCCGCGCTGAAGCTGCGCCGATGCCGCACCAGCGGCGCGCCGCGGCGCGCCGTTATTTTCATAATTTGGCGGCGGCGCGTCAAATAAGGCAAAAATCGGCGGCGGCGGCGGCGTGGCGCGGCGGCGTATATGTCTAATATGAATATACCTTTTCTCCTCAACTATTCTATGCAAATCATTCATGAAAACTAATCGATAATATAACCAAAAGCTACACAAACTTTTTACTTTTATTACCCAGTTTAACATATGCAAATGGTTACTAAAAATGGGTTTCCCCCGCGTACGCTCCAAATTCCAACGCTAATCGTACATCCCAGATCTGCAGTCACACTTACCCCCCGGATTCATTTGCATTTTCCCCGGACCAGCCCCATCCGCATTCCCCAGATGAAATAAATGAACCGCACCGCACACTCGCCATAACTGGGTCAAAAGACACTCAAATCCATCTATTTAAATCGTTTAGCGGCAATCAAATGCAGTGGTCATGAGTCACCGCCGCCACCATCAACGGACCCCGCCAAAAAGCATCGAGCTGAGTGCATTAATCACGGCAGTCACGAAAATCCACCACATACCCGTGCATATATATACATACATATGTATATACTATGTGAATTTCACAATATCTGCAGCACGTTTCACAGGGGTTACAAGGGGGTTTTCAGAGGGGGGTCAGCTTGGCATGGAACGTGAACGTTGCAGGGTCTACGTGCCCGCCTCTCAAATGCCAATGGACGTCGAACCGACGATGACGATGACGAAGACGATAAGAAGACCGGCGACGGAACGGATCGATGCGGATCGGTTGGAGATCGAGATCGGTTCGGGGTTCGTCCCGGACACAGGCGGATATATACATATGTATCTGTCCATATAATTTATAACACTCTCCGTTTTGAGGCTATTTATAGCCTGCAGCATGCGTTTGTTGTTTGTTTTGTTGATAAACACGATATACGATATATATATTCGATCGAAAAAGTGAAAGAATTATAAACAACTGTGTTTATATGGGAATTTTGACAATTAATTAGTAAATATTGTTGTTTTTTAGAATTTATTTTCAGGGTATTCACCTTTGTTAAGTACATTTAAATTTATGCAAAAATTTTAAGTGCAAAATGAAACTCTGAATTCTTCTTTGGCATTAACTGTTTTAGAAAACATATAAATGTCTAGTTTAATCACTTTGGAAAAAGGGTATTAGCGAATTTCCACTGCAGTTTTCTTGGTTACTCTTGCAAATCCTTGTTGATTATTTAGACGTGTTGTCTTGCTGAACATCTGTGAGTTGCTAAGCCTACATGGAGTCCTTTATGGATCCGTGTAACACAGACGTAGCCAGCAAACAAACACACTTTCTCAGAGTTCTCAGGCCGGTGCAGTAGTTGATCATTTTGAGTTTCCATTGAATTTTTCCACCGTAAATAACACTAATCACTGGGTCAGGGTCTTTAGATCGTCTGTAGGCGTCGTTGACAAGATCCCGAAATCGAAAACAACGAGAGACAGCTGAGTATTAAATGGGGTTGGGGGGAGTATTATATTTTATTATTTTTGTTTTCCATGTGGAGGGGCTTAGCAACTGTCTCGTCGTGCAACAAACCCGAGATCTCACTGACGCTTGACAACTCTGGACACTTGCTGGATACACATGGCGGCTATAGATATAGATAGAGAGACACTATACTTTCCGAGGGCGATTGTGCGTCACGCCCGCTTTGCTTTTTATCGCGTGTTTGCTTATCTCTATAGATATTTGTGTGTTTTCTCTCTAATATTTTTTTTTCGCTTTTATTGCCTGACTTTGGTGTTGATTAAGATGGCAGCGCGTAATGCAAATTATAAACACTTCAGCGGCGACGAAGACGCGTGTTTACCCCAAGTGCCATTTGATAAGGCATCCAACCGCAGGGGCAAACCAAATTTATAATGTTTATTCTATTTTTTGTCGTTTGATCACGCGTGCAAAGATTAAATTTGTACCGAACCGATCGTTTAAAAATGTATTTAACCTGTTTCGCTCATTAGTTTCCAGTTTCCAAGCTAATTATAGCGACTAGACGGCACACGTGACGTATACGTTATCATGACCATTCATACGCCATGGGTAACTTTCCCCCACAATAAAAAAAAAACACTCAAAGCTGAAACCAAAAAACCAACTGGAAAAAACCCGAACCGAATCGAAAACCCTAACGAAAACAAAAGCTAAGGCCAATCAAATTGGGCTGCATATTTGATGAGCGGTTCATTCGATTAGCCCTTGTGTATTTATAGAGGAAAACGCTCCCAGGAGCCGTGGTGGTGGTCACCGAATACCAAAATAGCCAAAAACAATGCTCAATCAAAAACACAGCAGCTAGAACAGCAGAAACATGAGGGAAACACAAAACTTGTTGACCTTCAAAAGGACACCGACTGGCACCCACAACACACCCCGCCCCACGCCCTCGAAAGGCCACACAGACACGTGAAAAGTACACCCATCCAACCCCCAATCGGAGGAGTTGGGAAAGGGCCTGCCACGCTGTTGTTAACTGATATTTATAGCCACGTTTTGGCCGTTGACATTTAGCAGACGTGAGTGCGTGAGTTCCGTAAGAACTCCGCATTAATTATTTATCGTAGCTCTGGCTACGCAACATTCTTTCTCTTTGTGTTTAAGCCAAGTTTAAGTTTAATATAATAAATGCGTTAAAAATTAAAGTCTTTTTTACTTTTTAGGAGGTTAACTTTTACCACAAGGCCCTACTCAAGCGTTGAGCTTAAATTATTAATAGCCTGCCCCTGGCGACACCAACGCCTTTTCGAAACTCTGGCCACACCAACGCAGCTTTTTTGTGGTTCCACTCGGGCACGTTTAAACGAAATTCAAGTTCAAAAAATTAAATTCGTTGGGATGGTGGAAGGGGGAAACCTCGCAGGGAAAATCAACGGAACATCACGTTTGGCAAGTCGTGCGTTGGTTTTTTTTTCTTTCTTTTTATTTTATTTTGTTTTGGCAAACACAGAAAAATAAAGATGAAATAAAGCAAAACTAAAGCAAGAATCTCCAACTAAGAATAGCCCGGCGACAGAGTCTGCCCACGTTTTCTTCGCCCGATATTCGCGTTTGTTTTGCAAATTCAAAATTGCTTTCTAGCTCGGTGGCTAAAAATACGTGGCCCACACAATCACACACACGTACAAGATCGAAAGATCCACACCCAATCCTGTCTAGCACACACGCTTTAAGAAAAACAACAACAACAAGATATAGAAGAGGCGGAGACATAGGCTAAAACCACTAAATTCGAGTCTAAGATATACACTAAACAATTAATTAGTTCACAGAGAAAAAGCATCACAATATGGTACACAATAAATAAAAAAAATTTATAACTTCCTCAGTTATAATTGTAACTTTAATAAACAATTTTTCTCGGTTTACTTATCCTTTTTAAATGGCAAACTGCTGTTACACTTTGTGATATTTTTTCTCTGTGTGCTTAAGCTAAACGCGCGCAGGTGAAAGTGAGTTTTGGGTTGTGGTTTCGATTTTGGATTTCGGATTTTTGATTTTTGCATTGTTTCAATTTTATTAATCATTCGACTTGCAGTCCAGCGGGATCTCTGGCTGTCATACCTACCTCTCATACTTAACCGGATGTGCGGCGTGTCCGTTCGCCTCGCTCCAGTAGGGCTCCATGGTGGGGCTGCCGCTGCCGCTACCGCTACCACTGCTCCTCCCCGATCCTTGTCGGACTCCGATTTCGCTTTTGAATCCGCTCCTGGGCAGTGTAACCGTAGGCTGCTCCTGCTGCTGCTGCGTCGCCGTCGTTTGTTGCAGTTGCGGTGGAATGGTGGAAGTGGTCTGCGCTCCTTACGTCAATGCAGAAATAATTGAGAGATAAATGCCGGGGCGAGTTATGGCCGAGCAAACAGGTTGTCGATGCGGCGAAGGCGAAGGCGACTGCTGCTTCGTAGACGGCGAATTCGCTTGCGGGGCGAATTACTCTTTTTCTGGTGGCTGGCGAGCCTAGGTACGTTTTTTCTTTGTATTTCCCGGATTTGTTTCAAATTTAGAATGGCATTTCGAAGCGTGTGTTTATATTTATGTTGGAACGAGTGGAATATGCTGATAAGTGTGGATGTTTACTCTATCCGCTTATCAGGACGTCTCGAATGTCCGAATGTGTGTGTACGCGTACGGGCTGCGTGTGGGCGATAACGATAGCGATAACGTCGCGTTATTTTCACTCGAACGAACGGTTTTTATACTCTATTTTTGGAGCAGCAATTAAAGTGCACTTGTTGGAGCAGGCTCCCTGCGCGACTCTTCGTTCACTCCCTTTCTCTCGCGTGGGCGGCGGTGCACAAAAACAAAGAAAACAAATAATGTCGAAAAACGTGACCGCCTCTTGTTTTATTTTCCGCAGTTCTGCTCGTATTGCAATGCTATTTTTCACCTGTCTTACACGTTTTTAGATTTTACGACACACCGAGAGCAGAGTACACGTTATTTGTTTTGTTAATATGCAACAACAATAACTTCCTTTCGTTTCACAGTGGAATTTTACCAGCCGCCTATATACACACTCATACAGCTGCGGATGCGAGCGGACAACGTGCGTGTGCGAGTGTGTGCGTGCGTGTTTCACTATTAAAGCACATACAGATATTTATATATATATATCAAATTTGTTGTTGCTCCTCCAGCTAATTTTGCTGTTTTTTATTTGCTCTCTCCCTCTTTTTTGGATTTGGTTTGGATATTTCTTTTTAGTTTTGCACTGGCACTGTGGCGTTTTCACCGCTTTTTCACGTCCGTTCGCGGCCCGTAGCAAATGAATTGTAGTCGAGCGACCCGAACAGTTTGAACATCAACCATCCGCCCCGTGAGCAGTGATGTCATTTTGATCTGAGCAAAAAAGCTGGATTACTCAAAAAAACAGCTAAAAAACCTAATTCCAAGGGAAAAAAGCTGATTTTTAGAAAATAATTTAAATTTAATTTTAAATCTAAAAATATTAAAAAATACACAAATGAAAAATATATATAATTTGAAAATAGACCTTAGATATCCTATTCGATTTACACTCTGGTTCGCATACTATGAGTTTAAAGCTTACCAAAGGAGGTTTTTTCACTTTTGTATATTTTTTAATCGAAAATCTTAAACAGTCTATAAACAAAAATTCCATTAGAAGTCTGCTTTAATTTTCTAAAAAAGCTGGAATTCCCGCTGCCCGCTGTTTTAAAATTTTTCCCGCAGCTGAATTTGACGGGGAAAAAGCGGAATTGACATCACCGAGGGGCCCGAAGCAAAAACGAAATGAATGAATTGTACTCGGCAAGCGGCACGAGACCCCAAAAAAGACCCGAGAGAGCTCCACATTGATGACGGGAGAGCAACATGTGTTAGTGTGGGTGTGGGGCGCCGGGGGGTGGTGGTAGATAACACACCAGAGAGCGGCTGCGGCTGTGCGTGTACATGTGCCAGCTGTGTGTGAGTGTGTGTGTTATCGCATTTCGTGTGCGGCGAACGTGATTGCCACAGTGGGACCAAATTCCATATTTTACGGTCACACAAGTCCCCAGCGAGATTGGCTCATGGGGGATTTGCAAAAGAAAGATTACCCAATTTGCCAGATTGTTGTTTTTAATGTCGGTGGTTTTATTAATGGAATAACAAGAAATAAATATAAAGAAATAAATCCTATTTACGCGATTATCAAAATTTCAAATTGACTATTAATTGGGGTACTTTCATTATAAACATCTGAATTTTTTAGGCTATTAAAGGCATCTAAATTCAACAAAATATCTCTGCAGACATTAATGTGAAGTCAACGCTGAGGGCTCTAATCTCAGGAGAGCCTCTAAAAAACGGGTTTGAACTGATTGAATTTAGTATTTTCCAAGTCACGCCCCAGACAGTCTGCTGCCCACTTGCACGCCACGACCTTCGGCAGCGCGTATCGTGACCTTTTCAATCCACCCGCACCACTGTGCCGCCGATTGCCCCGTTTCGGGGCTTGATGACTAGACGACTCTATAACTCGGTGCTTGTACTGGTAAATTCACGGCACTTACACAACCGCAACACATACACATACATATGTACACACATGTTAGTTGGCATTGTCGTTGTTGTTGCTAGACAGGCATAAATTAGTTGCGTGTGAATTATATTAATGAGCCAACTAAATGTGCGATTCCCATAAATAAGTGCAACATACTTATGTTCTTCGCTTTATTTTATTTTTTAATCTTTTAGAGGCAAACAAACCTCAAAGGTACCGTTATTAATGGCTTGCCATTGTATCTGCTCTCAAAAAATTAAAAACAAAACAATGAAAAAAATATATATAATAATAAAACGAAAAAAACAACGACGCAGAAGCTCAAGGCGAACAAAAACAACAACAAGAAACGCGGCATACAATAAAACACGTGAACGTGACAAATTCCAAAGCGAAACGGCGAAGTCAACTGGGCGGCGGCTGGCAAACGAGAGAGATAAAGAGCGCTTGGCAACAACAATCGGACACACACACACACACACACACACACACACACACACATTTGTATAGGCCGGCCGAACTACCACTCGGCCGACATTTTGTTTTTATTACAGAGCGCAACAGTGGCGGCGGCTTAAGCTTGTTGTTGTTTCTGCCGTTTAATAAACGAAATAATAATCATACGCGATGTTGACCCTATCGCATTCTGCCTCTCTCCGTCTCTCTTTCTGGCACTCTGTTTTTTAATCGAGACACGTCGAAAGTGGCAAACAAAAAACAAAAAGCCAAAAAAAGCAACAAGAAACAAATAATAACAACACAAAAATTCGTGGCGCATGACGTAACTCTCACGCGATTCGAGCATGTCACGCACACACTCTCGCACTCGGACACACACATACACACCAAGGCGGCGCTCAAGTTTGTTGTTGGTCACGTGTTGTTGAAATGTTTTCGTATTAACGAAGCGCTGTTGTTTGTGTTCAAGTTGATTTCGGATTTTACAGTTTGCATTCCATAACCCAAACAATCATATACAAAAATATAAGCAGAGTATTAATTAATACTATTTTAATTATTTTATTTTTCATTCAGAATATATATATCAAATTTTATATAACACATTTTCAGTACCCTCAGAACTCTATATGTATTTATTTTCTGCCAGGTTTTAAAAAACTTAAATTTTTTAGAAAATAATATAATTTTTCTAGGTTTAATAGATTTTCCGAGCTCCTATAAATATCGCTTACAAAATTCGTCTAATATGAGCTCAACTGTGCTCCTTTGTGTTGGGCTTTCCAGCGTGTTGATTGTATTTAAATGGCGATTTCTGGCTATTTTTAGCCGCCCCTAAAGGTCACTCCGTAGCCCGTAATCCGAAATCCGAGCTCCGAGCTCTCCGTGCCGTGATCTGCGATGACGAATGACATAAACGTGTCCAATTGGGCACTGGACTTGCATAAGTCTGGGCCTGGGGCTGGGCTTGGTTTTGTTTTGGATTCGGCATTTCGCTGATCTGTCTCTCACTCTCTCGGTTTAATTGCAGGGCGGCGGCGTCGGCACGTGCATCAGGTATCGCATTGCACGGCATTACGTATACGTAACGGGTAAGCTCAGTATATTACACATACGCCCCGGTGGAGGGCACGTGCAATAGCTACAGAAAACTGGCTCACCATTACTCATGTGGGCCCCCCTTCTTATCGCAGCTGTAATACACTTACTTGCTCACATGGTCCGGACGTTTTTACGGTCACGTGTTACTAATCGAAAGCGTTACGTGGTTTCAGTGAATTTCCACGTAAATGAAATGCAATGGCACTGGCTTTTCATCATTTGGAGCAAGCACAGAGCGAACAGAGCTGAAGCCTAGTAGAAATGGAGTGACAGGCCCCGGCACTTGTGGATTGTTTTCATGATTTCATGTTTTCCAGTAGCATGTGTGCCCGCTTATCTACAACAGCTCCCCGTCTGTGTTATAGTGTTATTTTATTATTGTATTATTGTATTATTTTATTATTGTTTACACCCCCCGGTTGCATGGCCGTAGAATAATCACGAAAGCCACAGGAAAACCCCTCAGCAACCGACAGCAATTGCACTTGCCAGACCTGGTGAAACCTATTTGGAAGCCACCTTTATTTGTTTTTCGACTGGGGGAATCCAAAAACACAGTGTGTTAGGAGCTTAGGAACATTAAATGGAATGTAAACACGTATAAATATAGAAATACTTATGTGTATATCATGTTTGAGTAATGAAATAGTTCCCTTTCCCTCACATTAAAGTAGAATTCAAACTGTTGTTATGAGTAAATTCAGTTTAATTTATTTTATCTAATATCTGCTTTTGAAATCTTAATTAATAGAGCTATTAACATATTTTTCACGGTTTCATATCATAACTTAACTAATACTAATCACTTAATCAAGCCTCATTAATAAATATTACTCAATAATAGATGCATAAATGCGACAAACTCACTTTTATATATTCGTTCACACGGAAAGTCAACAACATAACTTAGAAACTTGTTTAGTTTAGGTATATTTTATGTTAAAAACTCAATGTAAATTAATTTAATAAATAATATACTCTTTCTTGTATCATTTTTTCCCACTGTGACTTGAGTAACGCATCAATCGCTGATGACTACCACAAATAGTCGTGAGGCACAGCTTCGTTTTCTACTCTAACACTTGCTGGTGCAATAACACACACCACACCACACACCCCAGGTAATTTGCACCTTTAATTTAGGACAGGTGCGAACGACATTGATGCGATCAGCAGACCAACGAAGGGCTAATCAAAAAATGGGGTGTGCTGGGTTAGCTAGAGCGTAGAGAGAGGACTTCAATCGTGATCCATCTTAATTGACAGAAACGTAAATAGACCCTACCCTTTACGGAAGGCTGACTTTTAAACCAAATAAACCACATTAACTGGCTGATATACCCTTAGGTTATCAGCTTGCGAAATTTCAATTTCAAAGTCGAGGTGAAATCAAAAACAATAAAGTGACAACGACTGAAATGCCATATAAAATCCTGATAAGAACCAACTAGCTGGGAATAAAAGCTAAAATAATCTGAAATTAAACCGAAACAACAGATTCAAGTGGAACGGGTCTGAGAGCTATAATATATTTGAACACAAATTGCGATTGTTACCGCTGCTGATACTTCTATCTATATCGCCATTGTAGCCTGTGTTCCATCGTTGTTGTTCTTTTTGTTGTTATGTAGATTAGAAATCTCGAGAAATGTTTATAAAAAGCCCCGCGGACAGAACGACAGAGCGAGAGAAACAGTGACAGGGACAGGGGCAACGACACGTGCGCCCGCAGCTGGACAAATAGAAATAAAAAATACAAAAAATTACTTTACATAGACCGTAGCATTTGTTCACACAAACATACAATATATCGCTGTTTATAGGTGAATATCAGCCGAGTCATGCATGTACAGTGCCTGGCATTAATTAGTCGGTAGTCACACACTCAAAATTAATCAACAAAAGCGGAATTCTTCGCTTTAAAAGTCTTATCTCTAAGATTTCAAGTAATTATTTGGGTGTCTCATCAACAGGAATTGACTTTATTAGAATCAGCATAGGCACCAAGACAATAAGTGAATGGAAATCTTTAAAATTTTGGCCCAAAAAATATGCAGTATGTAATACAACAAAATAATGTTGCCTTGCTTATAAATATTAATTATATTAATAAATCAATATAAAATTCAATATAATTCCATACTTTCTATGGATTATTTTACAACTCATATGGAGGACAGCCTGGAATTTTATTTTAGCTCACAAGCCTGCCTGCAATGAATTTCATTTGCTTTTAATTGATTTCGTGTTTGTTTACGGTTACTGACTATGGTTACGAGTTCTATTTTCTGCCCAGCACCTCCCGCTTATGTAAAACCCACAAATTGTTACACGTTTTGCATACGAATGCTGCTGCTGCTACTGCTGCTGTTGATAAATCAAGCAAAAAAGGCAAAAGGCGGTTTTGAATTTCCTATTGGGCTCGAGATGTCAGCAACAACAACAACAAACGGCGACAAGGTGACGCCGCCTGTAACTCTTCAAAGCCCGGACTTTGGTGCCACAGTCAGGCTTCAATGAGTCGAACTTTTTTTGCAATCATAACATTTGTTTGGGGCTAGTGGGTTTCAAATTAAATTGTCATTTAATTTTGGAAATTATTTAGTTTAACTCTCCTTAAATTATAAATCTAAATATAGATAACCAAGGCATAGACTTCCTTTTAAGTTTAATTTAAAAAATCAAAAATAAATCCTGAAATTATACAAAAATCGCTTTGAATTAAAAATTCAAAACCTTTTATAGAATTGAGAAATACACACTACTCACTGTATTTCATTTGGCTTTGTTTCGTTTCCAAGCCCGACTTGGGAGGAAGTCGAGTTAATTATATGCACACTCACACACACACACGGCCGGGAGAGATATGTGCACAGTTGCTGGCTGTAATGGCATTTGCATTAATTGAATTTGCATGTGATACATGCTCCATGGGAAACAGGGTTACGGGTCGGGGGTTACGCGGGTTGTACGACTTTATACCCGCAACTTGTCAAATCGTGTGCAAGAAATCGGAATAGGCGGCTAGTGTCTCGCCGGGCAGTCTGCTCATGACATCGTCTTTCTGTTTTTGATGTTTTTGCATTTCTCCTGTGCCCCAAGTCCGCCTCCGCATTTTAGCTGATGTAACGCCAGAGGCTAAGCACGTTACGCATACGCCATGGAGGCCGTTTTGGTGGTAAGACGGCAAGAACAAACGCTTTTGCCGCAAGAGCCACAAGACATGAACATGCTGCAACAGCTGCCAGTAGACAGTGCACTGAAAAAAAAGGAATAAATAGTTAATACTAAAGTAAGGTGGAAGTCCTGAAAAAAATTAGTATTATTTATTATTTGAAGCTATATTCTTCTCATATATATTTTTCTATACATTTTACTTGACTTCGATAGTGTGTGTGATTTAAAGTATTCATTCTGATCATTTTTCTAGCGGCGGGTTGCTTTAGGGTCTGTTGGTTACATATGCACGTGGGCGGACGAGAAATGCCATTGAAAGCTGACTTTGACGCAGTCTCTCTCGCTTCGCAATTCCATTCCCATCCCCATCCCTTGGATCCCAACCCCTTAACCCTCCTCAACCCTAAAACGATTGTCAAACTACGTAACAAAAACAGCGACAAACGTGCTGTGACTCCTCTTGTCTCTCGCTCGGCCCCCTCTTTTCTATGTCTGTACATCTCCCCGATGGGTCACATTCAGGTACTTAAGGGTTACGCGTGTCCAGCTCTGGCACACTGTCAAAAAAAAAAGCTTTTAAAGAAAGATTTAGCTTAAAATTTAAATAAGTTTAAACACTAAAAAATACTTGTCATTCAAACGATTAAATAAATATATAAATACTATCAGAATCTTAGTAAAACATTTTTAAACAAACCTTCAAGCGTCATGGAATTTTTTATTACTTTTTTTCTATCGAGTACTTTGATAATTTCATTTGCAAAAACACAAGTTTCAATGGTAATTTTCCACAGTTGTATATGAAATATTAAGTTTAATTTGCGTAAGTAACTATAGTTGATCAATAGGAGATATGTTAATCATCTGTCACTTATTATTTACTTTATTACATTACTATTTAATCCAATAGATTTCCATTCATTTCCTTTCCCTTGATAGGGGCTTTACCCACCTGTCATAGGGCATTAAAGAAAATGAAGAATTCCATGACAAAGCCTGAGTAAACTAATTTGCTTGACACTATCTCTTTGAAGGAATTTTGCCCCTTCACTGACTACTGGAAATATTTCATAAAAATAATCAAGAAAAACTATTATCGATGTCTTATAATGAACTAAAAATAAAAATGGCATTTCATATAGGGAAATAATTAAATGGTTTTGAAGAGATTAAGGTGAAGTTAAACTATTATTAAAGCTCAATTACATTTAATTAAACAAGTTTGAGGGGCGATCAATTTCCTTAATTAATGAAGTATTGAAGTATAGAAGCAAATATTAATAATTTAAAGATCACTAATTTCTAATAATTATTTTCAGTGCTGACCTCCTGTGGTTGCCAGTAGCAGCAAGGAGTCCCTGAAATGACATGCAAATGACTGGATTTTTTAGATGGTTTGTCAACGCTTTGAACTTGGCAGAAAATAAAACTAGTAGTAACATCCATTACAGAGACCCCATTTATCTTTTCACCCCGGGAAAAACCCCACTCCCCTTCCTCACCATCCCTTTCAGCCTGCGACGCAGTTGAATTAAATAAAACAAAAGCAAATCTGTGGGAGCAACGAGAGCAGTGCAATAAATTCCAGGTTAATGTGCAACACGTGTGCACTTCACTCACCTGCCGAGTTACCTGGCTAATTAAGCGGCAAAAACGGAAAAACTAGAAACGAAAAACAAACATTAAAGAAAAAAAAAAATAGTAAACAAGCGAACGTAAGAGGCAGTCTGCTACTTTTATTGCTTCATTCCAACTCGTAAAGGGGTTTTTTGTTTTGTCTTATTTTGTTGCTGGCGCAATTAACGCAAGTGTTAAAATTGCAATTCGCAACAAATTAATTAGCAAACAATGCGCAGCGAATTGCTCACTTTTGTCAAAGGCGGAAACATGTATATTGAACCAAGTGATATGTGTGAAAGTTGTTTTTAACTAGAAATAGCTGAGCAATTAGTATGCAGCTAGCATTTTTCTAAGATTCCAGATTCAAAAAGACCGCCCAATCGAAGTTATCGATAAACATAACATAACAGATACTCTGTTAGCTAACATACAGCTGTCTATGCGGGGCATTTATCAACACTGTCGCCAACTGCACACTTTTATCGGGGCGGTGTAAATTATTGTTAATTACTTAAAACTTCTAAACTCGTCAGAAGGGAAAGTTTTCTGAATTAAAATTTCCCAATTTTCCTTATTTAAGTTTGTTTAATTAAGTTATAGTTAAGGTCATAGTTATCTATTTCTTTCAATAAAGTTTTTACATTTTGTAAACTGTTTTTAAAAGTATCTAGTTGCTTTTTTATCACTATTTTAAGCTCCTTTCGTATATTTTTGCAAAATTCAAGTAAACTTTTCCCGCCAATGTTTTAACATTTAAAATTTCTGTTGAAAACATCGATAGGTTCAATACTGATATCGTTATTCTCGCAGCTCTAGGTCAGCTGGCCGGAGCTTGTATTATGATTGTTTTTTTGTTTTTACCCTTTAAAACGTGCAAATAATTCCGATAAGAAGTGTGATTATTAAGGATAGTGATTCGGCCAAAGGCGTAGGAATAAAGGTTCATTAATTTAATGGAGGCAGGATCCTCTGGAATTCGAGGACCAGGAAATGTCAGCTCGCCGAATGTTTGTTGTTTTTTTCGTGTCATCTGTTGCTAGGCAACCGCAAAAACGCAAACAATTCGGTTACGTCGAATCAGAGAGCCATTTCCTTCCGGTCCCTTTACTGCGCCGTAATCCAGTTGGAAAAACCCAAGGATTACCAGTGAGAAAACGACGCAGAAACTTGGCAAAAGAGGTTCTTTGGAAAAAACAAGGAGCCCACGAAATCCCTGAAACATTTAAAATGATTCACTAAACAAACGGAGTTCCAGTAGCCAAAGCAGCTACCTAGTCGATATGGTAAGTTCTAGATTCGCAGCTCTTTGTAGATTCTAGCACGTCGTATATACACCTATATCTATATACATATATACCGACCACACAATTTCCTAATTATCAGGTAAAAAAAAAGTAAGAAAAAACTAAGAACGAAGGAAAAAACTTCCTCAAGCCACAAATCGAAAAAGATCAAAAGCCGTAGAACTTTTCTCATTTTCCATCCAACGCGCGAATTTTCATTGAACGAGAAAATGAGAAAATTACCCAACCCCGGCCAGCGGTTTTTCCGCATTTTCATTTGCGCCTTTTCCCAGCCACGGCGCCCAGGCATTTAGAGACAATTAAGTCGAGTCCTCTCAGGGAAAACCCGAAAAACAGACAAGACAGCCAGTCAGTCAGACCTATCCATCCATCCCCCTGATCCCATCTCGTCCTGCAACCCTGCAGGAGCACCCCCTTCCCAAACCCAAGCCCATGCCAAGTGGCACATCCATATGGAGTGTGCCATGGCCGGTTGCACATTACAGCGAGTCCTAGCGCCAGGTGTAAACACCAGGCATCTACAATCCAAAAAATACACAGAGAAAAATTATAAGGAAAATAAAGTAATATGTTATTTTATTTCATATTCAAATATTTATTAAATAAATATTAAACATTTTATGACACTTTTTAAATGCAATATTAATTATTATCGGTAATTTTTTAATAGTTTTTTTTTTTTTTAGATTTTAACTTGAAATTATCAAGTTAAAGTCGATTCTTAGTTGTGAATAAATATTTTGCACAGTTTGTTTTTAAATCCTCCAAAAGGTTCTAATCCTTGAGTTCCCCACAAATACAAATTTCCAAACAGTGATTTTTATTACCTTTATTTTTGGATTAAGGATCACATCTTTTAAGATAAGGAGCTACGACGCAATCGTTCGAAATAAACTGATAACGAGATCATTTCAGAGTGACGTTGCGACCTGGTTTTTGGTTGATAACATAGAAAGTGTATATACATAAATGTGTATAAACCTAATCTCTAAAGAAATGTATATTATATAGAAACCATTTTTCTGTATTTAAATATTATAATAATAAATCAAATAATATTCAGTGCAATTTTCTGTTAGTTAAAATCAGTAGTTAGGTTTGTTAGGATGCTTTATTAATGATAATAATGTATCCTTCTTTTGGAAATGCATATTACAATTAGGAAAAATTAAAAAATGTATAAAGAACATAATTAATTACAAAAAGTTGCCTTAATTCTCCTCAATTGCCTCGCAAATGAAGAGGTTCTTATTGAAGCAGCTGCCATAGAACATTTCCGCTTGGAAGAGATCAACGCAGTGTTCATTATTTAGTTTCGCCTCAGACTGATTGGGATGCCATTTGAAATAAGTTGCCGCCTTGCCGGTGCTCCAGGACACGTACTTGCCATTTGCAACCAGGTCGTTCATATCAATCCAGTAGCTCTCTCGCTTTAGATGTGGACTAATGGCGGCCAGCTCCTCATCGCTCTGGATGGTCGCCAGTTGGCCACCTATCTGTCGACAAGTGTCGGCGGCTGCAAACCAATTCTTTCGGGCAAACCTTGAGATGTAAAAGAACCGCGATCCAATCTGTTCGAAGCTTGATGGAATCTGTTTTTTTATATGTTCCGGTGAAGAGCTAAGAGACGCAGATGCCTCATTCTCCTGGGCTAATCCAGATGCCAAGAGGCAAGAAATGATTGTAAAAATTAATCCGCGCTGGAGCATTGTAACCACTGATGCCGATCGCCGGGAATGCACTGATTCTCGAGTGTCGAGAGCGCACAGTTTGTTGACAAGCTCTTGATTTATTGTATAATTTATTGTTGACTTGAGATAACCTTCTGTTCAAACTTGAAGGTTTTTTTGTGCCTCCTCGGACACGGGAAAATCCACTGAATATATTTTTATTTGTGAATTAGAGTATTGGGTGTTTTGTTATTTAAAAAAAAGAAGAAGAGAAGAATAGTTAAACGTATTCATCTACTGTCTCGCAAATAAAGAGGTTCTTATTTTCACAGTTTTCACGATTCATGTTGGACTGGAATAGGGAAATACAGCGCTCCCCCTCCCCTTTCTCCTCGTACTCCTCCTCACTGGCGTCGGGACTCAGCTTATAGAAAAGATGTCCCACATCCACCCAGAACTTCTTGGATTGTAGAGTCTTACTAAAGGCACTAAGCTCCTCTTCATCTTGAATCGTTGCCAGTTTGCCACCCATCTCTCGACAGGCGATTTCTGCCGCAAACCAAGACAAATGCACTTCCCTCTCGATGTAGAAGATTCTCGCTCCGATCATCTCAAAACCTGGGGCGACAGTCTTCGCTGTAATCACCTCTTGTTTGGGAGGGGGAGTGGTGTCGATCTCCTTTCCATTTGGCGTCTTGTCAATCATTATTTTCAGTGCCGTTAAGCAGATGCCGGTCAATTCGGACATTTGATTTGAACTGAAACCAGGAGCTGTAGATTCCACTTTAGGTTGGGCTTCAGGAACTATAGGGTATAGGGTGTCCCAGACTGCAGGAATAACTGATCCAGATGCCAGGTGGCAGGTGGCAATAATGCCAAAGCCAACAATTAGCTTAAGCATTGTTAACGCTTATAGTCCGCCAATTCGACTGATCTGAATTCAGTCTGTAGAGTCTTTTTTATAGGCGAAGAAACCTGCATGCATAAAAAAATATATTGCGTCCAGATAATCTTGCATTCGAGAAAATGTGTTTCTTTTAGTGAGTCAATCTAACTGAAAAATGAGTGTTCTTGCACTATTTATTAATTTTAGTTACGATTTTTAACAACTTTCATACTATTCTTAGGTTATATTTATGGAAAGGATGAGGCACTAATTTTATGTAAATTTCTTTAATTTGTAAAGGAGAAAGACGATGGGTATATACCCTTGCAGTTAATACATAGCACGATATTATTATTATATTTTTATTATTATTAAATAAGATCTAAAGCAACTTATTGCCTCGTGAGCATTGGAAAACAAATCTTACATAGAAATTTTATTTACAAATATTTTTTAAATTCCTTTTAGTGTAAATTCAATAATTAAAATTTTTTCTAAAGTGTACAACTCCTTTTCCATCCTGCTGGGCACTTCCGCTTTGGTGCCTTGCCACGCCACTCGTCCTGCTTCACTGCCTCCGTCTTCTTACCTGTAAATATTGATGGTGGGAGGGGTTGATATCAAACAGGAGTGTGGCGGAAGATGTGAATGAGAAACAGGATGGAGGAGGGCAAGGACGCGGTCAAGGGGGCGGGGCAGGACACACGCCGCACACGCCCAGCGAGCGAGTGCCATATTACATTCATCATCTTTCATTTGAGATGAGTCGCGTCCGTTTTAATGAATGTCAATGTCAATTTGCCCATCAGTTGTAAGCGAAATTGAAAAGGAGACAAAGGTGCAAATAATTTGCCAGAATACTATGATATTTTCTCTATTCATTGAGCACAAAAGGATATCAAAACCAAATTTTGTAACATAATTCCCAATAGCTTTCCCTTTCAAAGAGAAATACAAAATTTACTAACTAAATGTAACTAATTCCTTAAAATGTTTCTAAAACAATGTGCATCAGACCCAACCTGACAATAAAATTAGAATAAATACGACATGTTCCTATAAAATATCCACCAACTGTCAGGCTACATCTATGCACCTTCTCGTCCTGTGCCAGGACACATGTTGTCTTAGCTATTCCACCCGCGAGTATAGTTTACCTGCTGCAGGCATTTAGTGAATAAATGAATATTAGGCACATGCAAGAAGGAAAGCGTCACGCTGTCTGAGCTTCAGTCACCTTTCCTGCCCCTCAGCTGGAACTGTGTCTCTCTGTCTCCCTTGGGTTGTCCCTATGCCAACGCAGCTGCCGGCGGAGAGGCAACCTTAGGGGTAGAACTGTAAAAAAGGGTCAATGCCATGGACTAGCCTGAAAGTGCAGCTACCCACTCCAGGGTCCTCTTGGCTCTCACTCCCCTTTATTTTATTCTTTTACCTTTCTATCTAAAATGGTCCTAACATGTGCCAACAACATGTGGTTCGCTCCTTAACATTGGAATAAATAAATAAGTTAATAAATAAGTCAAATGGAATACCTAAATTTCTAGGAGGAATTAAATAAATTCTTTGAATTGGAATAGTTAATAAAAAATCAGTAAAATATACATACATAAAATGAAGTAACTTCAACTGGCAACAGTTCGCCATAGCCTCTGACATCGTATCAAAAATTTATCATAACTTAGTCAAAATTGCTTAAAAATTGTGTTTTTTCCGACACATATAGAAAGACGCGACGATGCTGATCAAGAGTATATATGGCTTATATGGTCGGATATAACTCCTTCACTGCTTTTCAAGCTTTTGACTAAAATTATCATAATTTCCTTTAATGCAGTTTCTACCGTTTAAAAAATAATAACAAATAAGCTATAAAAAATCCCTCTTAGCCAGTTTTAGCTGTACTTGTTTGTATTATAAATTCAAATGTTATTCAAATGCATTTCCATCTCGCTCTGTCTGCTCTGACAGCAGCAGGTTGGTTGTGTGCCACATCGACATCAACATCGAATGCATTTTGACCAATTCAATTTACCAAAAAAAACTACTATCAACCCCCTTTTGGGCCAGGCCATTGTCATTGTCAGAGTTTTCAGAGTGTATTTCGAGTTCTGCCGTTTTTCAGTTGCAGTTTTGTGTGCGTTTCTGTTTTTGTTTCCGTTCCTGCCGCTGCCACTGCTGCTGCTGCCGGGTTTTTTCTTGGTCAACTCGGTCGAAATATTTTCCCCGCCGTAGTTGCATATTCACGCTCGAACTAAACACACCGCAGCAGCTTTTACAACTATATATAAACCGCTATATAAACACGGTAAAAGCCCAATATCCTACAAGAGAGCCTTCAGAGAGGAAGAGAGCTTAGTGAATCCCGAAATGAATATTTATTTGATCAATAATTTGGCGTTGCGCGTCCCTAGTGATTTATTCAGTGTGTGTGTGTGTGTGTGTGTGTGTACTGTACAGGTGAACCGGTATGCAGGTGTAAACACTGCTAGTGTGGGTGTCGTGACTGAAAAACTTACCCCGAGCGAGCTGCACTTTTCACGCGTCAAAATTTACGAGCTAGCCTCGCACGCCGTTTGATTTGTGCACTGAAAGCCCAAGGAGTTCACTTCCAACCGGGGAAAAACGCATTACCACCTTTTCCCTCAGGCAGTTACCACCACAGCCGCCCATTAAGGAAACTCCCCCTTGCCAACTTCGTTTATTGTTTATAAACAACAACTTTCAGCCCAACTCCCGGCCCAGGCCAGACCAGACCAGACCTGAAGTGACGTATGCCGGGTCGTTTGTTCTGTCCGCGCTTTCCCAAAAAGGGGGATGCCATGCCCCCCAGTCGCGGTATTCCCTATAATAATATAATAACCCCCCAAAGTTCAATTCCCTGAGTTTCGGGATGAATTGCCAGCGGCGCTTTCTCCAGACCTTATTTACTTTGAGCCGGTTGCCCTGTGAACAAGTGCATGTGGCAAGTGCAAGAGTGCAAAAGTGGCAAAGAAAAGCGCGGAAAGTGTGAAAATCTAGCAACTCTAAATCAGGCAGACTGAACTGTAACTAAACCCAAAGAAAAACTTGATTAAAAAGCGTTGGAAAATGTACTTTAAACGGAAATTAGGTACTTTTTAACTAATTGAAAGTTTAGCTACATGAAAACGGATTAATTGAATTAAATTAAATACTATAAACATTAATAAAGTCTAGCTTAGTCTTGGCATAAACATTATATTTACATTTAAACATTCTTAAAGGAAGTGTTTTTAATTTAAAAATTAAAAACTTAAGAGCTTCAGTGAATTTGAAAATTAAAAACTAACTATCATCAGTGAAATAAAATAAATAAGAAGTTTAATTAACTATTTAACTTAACTTTATTCATAATAAAGCAAAAGTTTATTTCACTTAAAGTTAAAATATTTATTTTTTATATTTTTATTAATAAAAAATCTGTGTTTAAATTGTACTTAATCTGATAGTAAAATTTAAACGTTTAAATCTACATTTCAATAATAAAATATGTTCTTTGAAACATCGTTATTTTTATTAAAGTGTCATTAAAAATTCAACCAGAGCCAGAAAATTAAATTTCCAGCGTTAAAGTTACTTTAAACGATCTTCTTTTTTAAAAAAGAAAAGAAGGTTACTGATGAACAAAGAAATTGCCTCAATGAAATGTGCTTTTCTTTGATTGAATCGCAAATTTATATATTTGTGTCGCCAACAATTACAATTTGTCTAATTTAATTGGCCAGAGGCGTAGCTAAGGGCAGAAATGGTCTCCCCTGGTGTGGGCCGATGTAAGTACAGTGAAAGCTGCACTCGCGAACAGTTCCCCGAGGCTATTATCTCACTAAGGATAATTAATTGAATAAGTTGAGGATTTATGTTAAAGAGGGGAGGTTTCAAATGCCAGCTTAAAGACAGAAGTTTAAATAATTTCCTTTCCCTTTTCTTGGGTGTGTAAAACTTAAAATTCTTAAACAACATTGTTTGTTTCAAGTTACACTATATTTTATCTCTTAAATTTTTCCTAACTGATTATTATGATAGTGTTGGAAATGTTGTATACCTTTGTAAATGTTGGTGGGTAGAAATTGCGATTTTAGGAGCATAAAAACAAAATCTACACATCGTCATAATTACAATTGTCATTGTCAAATACTGAATTTACCCTTAAAATCCAGGCTATAAAAGTTACTTAATAT